ACTATATCTACTTAACTGACTAGTATCACTTTTACGTGATTTTGGGGCCTTAACGGCCCTCCGTTTTCCCTTTTCATTTCCGTTCCCCACATCCGCCAATCTTGTCCAACCGCGTTCCTATATGTACCAGTAGATCGACCGGTCGCTTCCCTTGCCCGGTGAGAATGTCGATGACCTCGATTCAGCATTTCGCGCGTTCCTTCTCTCCTTTTTCTTCAGGTACCCAGCCGGTCGGAATGGCGCAATCCCAGACGGTTGGGCTGGATACGCTCGCCGAGGGTTCGCAATACGCGCTGGAGCAACTGCAGCTGTCGCGAGAGGCCAATGGGGCCAGTGCCGTTGACGGCGGAGTCCCTAACCCTCTTAGAAGCTCAATTGCCAAACCCCTTGGCCAGCAGCTTTACAGCGACGAATCCTCCACCCAGCATACCCAGAACGCAACCACCGGGTTTAGAAACCTGCCTCAACGAGACCAACTGGCAGAGGCCCGCTCGACGATCCGCAAAAGTTCAAACTCCGGTCCCGTCCGCCGAAGAATCAGTCGAGCATGTGATCAATGTAATCAGCTTCGGACGAAATGCGATGGGCAAAACCCATGTGCGCATTGCATTGGTAGTGATTTCTTTATTCATTGCGCGATGCTTTAAATGCTGACAATTCTTGGGCAGAATTTGGCCTGACTTGTGAATATGCTCGAGAACGCAAAAAACGTGGCAAAGCATCTAAAAAGGACCTCGCTGCGGCTGCCGCCACCGTAGCTAACAATAGCACCGCACCGACGTCAAACGGCAATGTATCCAACGACTCTACATCGTTAGCTAAACGGCATACCCCATCGGATGGTCAATCAACGCAAGAGATCAGTGGGAGGTACGATCCGACCTTTGATGCCGCCCGAAACCTGACGACAGCGGGACAATCGCAATTAGGGCAGCACTCGGATGTGTCAGGAATGGCGGGGATGCAGGGCTCACAACAGACTCCCCACCCTCGGCCATCCTTAGGTGGTGCAATTGATGCCATGCACATGAATCACTTCGGCACTCTAAATGATTCTAATCGACCACAGATATCTGTTCCCGACCTTCGTTCACTGCAGATGCTACATCCATCCGGCGCAAATACCCGGTCTCCGTCGGGGGCATTGCCACCTCAAGGGTTGAATTCCGGCTATAATGACGGCGCTTATTCTCTGATGAATGCGCCAGAAGCAAATCACCCATCGATAAACCAATACCGACTCGGGAACTCTGCTGAAAACCCCCCGGCGCCTTTTCTAGGCTTATCACCCCCAGCGCAATCACCAGGATGGCTATCACTCCCTTCGCCATCCCCTGCGAATTTTGCTTCTTTTAGCATGCCTCCATTTTCCAGCACCTTGCGGTACCCTGTCCTCCAGCCCGTCCTCCCTCATATTGCCTCGATTATTCCTCAGTCACTGGCCTGTGATCTCCTCGATGTCTACTTTACCAGCTTCTCCCCTTCCCACCTGTCGCCACAATCCCCATATGTGGTCGGGTACATTTTCCGAAAACAGTCGTTTCTCCATCCCACAAAGCCAAGGGTATGCAGTCCTGGTCTATTGGCTAGTATGCTATGGGTTGCCGCGCAAACGAGTGATGCAGCGTTCCTGACATCTCCGCCATCGGCTCGGGGCAGAGTATGCCAAAAGCTCTTGGAACTTACGGTTGGCCTACTCCGGCCGCTGATCCATGGCCCCGCCCCGGGGGAAACATCTCCCAACTACGCTGCTAATATGGTCATTAACGGTGTGGCTCTGGGCGGCTTTGGCGTCTCCATGGATCAACTTGGCGCTCAAAGTAGCGCAACAGGTGCCGTAGATGACGTTGCCACGTACGTTCACTTAGCGACTGTGATATCTGCCAGCGAATATAAGGCAGCTAGCATGCGTTGGTGGACGGCAGCATGGTCTCTCGCTCGCGAATTGAAGTTAGGACGTGAATTGCCGCCGAATGTCTCCCAGCCGAGACAGGACGGCGAGCCTGAGGACGATACAGATGTCGACATGTCAAAACGTAACCCCCCTCCTCTTGTTACATCAGTCGGAGGTGGCTCTGGAAGCACGATTCTCAATGTCACTGAGGAGGAACGAGAAGAACGCCGGCGTCTTTGGTGGCTGCTCTATGCAACAGATCGCCACTTAGCGCTCTGCTATAACCGCCCTCTGACATTACTGGACAAGGAGTGTGAAGGACTCCTCCAGCCGATGAATGATGACTTATGGCAGGCTGGCGATTTTGCGGGTGCCACTTACCGTCAGGTAGGTCCCCAGGTAGAGTGTACAGGACACAGCATGTTCGGTTTCTTCCTACCCTTGATGACAATCTTGGGTGAAATTGTCGACCTCCAACAAGCAAAGGAACATCCCCGGTTTGGCCGCGTCTTCCGGAATAGTGCAGACTGGGACCACCAAGTACTGGAGATCACCCGTCAACTAGATACATATTCTCAGAGCCTGAAAGAATTCGAGGCTCGCTACACTAGCAGCCTAGCTCTTGGAGCTGGGGAAAGTGAGGCCGCTATGGAAGGATCTCATTTGGACCATGTGAGCCCATCGGGCCGTTCGACTAGTACGACTGGGTCGCGGGTGAACGAGTCCATCGTGCATACGAAAATGGTGGTCGCCTACGGAACCCACATTATGCACGTTCTACACGTCCTGTTGGCTGGGAAATGGGACCCTATCAATTTGCTTGAGGATCATGATCTCTGGATCTCTTCGGAGTCGTTCATAGCCGCAATGAGTCATGCAGTCGGCGCTGCTGATGCTGCAGCTGACATATTGGAGTACGATCCAGATATAACTTTTATGCCCTTTTTCTTCGGAATATATCTTCTGCAGGGTAGTTTTCTGCTACTGCTAGCAGCCGATAAGCTTCAGGGTGAGGTCAGTCCTAGTGTAGTCCGCGCATGCGAGACGATTGTTCGTGCACACGAGGCTTGCGTCGTGACACTGAACACCGAGTATCAGGTAAGTTTTACCTTTGAGCGGTTACGTATTGATAGATGCCTAATACTTTTATCTCTCAGAGGACATTCCGTAAGGTTATGCGTTCGGCTTTAGCGCAGGTTCGTGGGCGCATGCCTGAGGATTTTGGTGAACAGCAGCAGCGTAGGCGAGAAGTGCTAGCCCTCTACCGCTGGACCGGTGATGGCAGTGGACTTGCGCTATGATGAACGCCGCCGCCATCAAATAACACGTTACCTGCATCTCTGCCATCCGCATAGCTGGCAACCTTGACGATGTGATGCGATCTCATGACATTTATTAATTGAAAGAGGCCCGGTCGGCCTCGGGGTCCAGGAGTTCAAAAGGCAGCCTAGTGTATGGGCTGGGTTACTGCTTCCTTTCTTTTTCGTTAGTCTTCCAACTTGTCTATCGTTGAATATTTTTGCTTCTCGCCAAATTCATTGCACCTCGAAGTTTGGCTCGGCACGTATTTTTGGTCAAGTTGGCGCTTCATTCGAGGGACGGACAGAGCCCCTTTGATACTCTATTTTCAGTATATAGCTTTCGCCATCTGGCTTTTCGTTTATTGTTGATGCGACCTGTACACTATTTCCCGTTATACTGTTTATATCGCGGCTTGATTTCTACAGCAGTATAGTTTAGTATATACCCACATTTCAAAAGCCAATACATGTCAATAATGCACACATATTGCCCTGTACCTAGAAACCCTATTCTGAATATAGTGCCCCTGACGCAACGTCAAGATTGTGGCAGCCAGAGGGTACAGCACTCCAGAGTGGAGATTCCCGGTTGTTTTGGACTAATCTCAAGAGCCAGCCGCGTCTCATGTGCCTGGCATATTGTAGATATAGTATATGTATCTCCAGGTGGTTGGTACAGTCAACAGCACACTTCATCAACGCTAAAAACACGTATATTATCCCTCTTTCAACTCCATACTCTAGCAAATACAACATGGACCGAAAACTCAGTTTATCTTAACAAGCTCCTAAGCATCAATAGAAATAGTACATAACAACAAAATCCATACCCCAAGCAGCGCACTAGACTTAACCAGACGATTATGACCCGCTCATATCTTCCGATTTCTCATAAAGACCCAACGGATACTTCCTACGTAGCTTATCGACAACATAGAGATACCAGTTTTCGCCATTGAAATAGTCATGCCCTTTGAAGCGGATACCTACATGCAGGGTTCGGCCACAAAATTCCATGAGACTTTTATTTTTGCGCCTCAGCCATTCCATATTCGTCCGAGACTCTGTCCATATCGATCAGGGGTAAATCCCCCCTGTAATCACGGGCAGTACTTCGAGTAATTCTCGCTTTGGAATACCGTGGATATTGACTTGGATAGTGGTTAGAGCTTTAATAGGTGCTGAGGCTGGGTTAGCCTTAGTTCTGACTTACTAAGATAACCATCTGGGTCACCTGTGGATGGCATTTTTGCAAGGGTCAATATGGACTGGTAGGAGTGCCACTTCAGCTTTGAGTATGCTGGTGGGCATGGCTATGAGTTCTTTGCAGGGTCGGCCAAGGTATCTCTTAGTGTCTCCATATTATGTTGGCTCTTTTGAGACTAAATTCATAGTGATGGAGTGTATTGTTATACATTATAAGTGAAGATATACAAGAGATTGGCATGCTGTCAGGCCTGAGGCATCAGTCTTCTGTGCCAATCCGCTCGTATATGCGGAGAATGCCGTAGTATGTGCATAGTACTGGTTTCTGGGGCCAGCACTACTAGTAGTCAGACCTTGCCTGTGTTTAAGTTGGTACCTGGATTATGCTACCTTAGTGGATAGATATGAGACAGCAAAGGAAACGCTCCAATAATATCGAATGTAATTAGGTTGTTCCAAGTATGACGTCACTGCTGAGATAAGCTCTTTGTCGACGATAAGGACTTTTCATATATATCTCGCCGCTTTGCATCCTCCACCTAACTTGTCTCTTTGCAAATCAACGAGATGGGTGATTACCCCGGAACTCGTGCTGAATTATGAATCACCTAAGAAGATCTCTTTGTCAATTATCATCTCACCATTTCCATCTGCGACCGTCCATTGCACCTCTCGTTGCGAAGCGGTATATAGGAATTCCACCCGGCTTTCTGCTCGATGAATATATCCCACGCTACCAGCTGCTCACATCCATAGATGCTTCGAAGAAACGCTCTCTCGCCTATGCACATCTACGGGAATGCAACTTATGTCCACGCCGTTGCGGAGTAAACCGGTACGAACAAACCGGGGTATGTCTCATCGGCGCTGAGACAGTCAAGGTCAACACGATCGCACCACATCGTGGAGAGGAACCATGTATTCAGGGATTCAATGGTAGTGGCTCCATTTTCTTTTCAGGATGCAACCTGCGCTGTGTGTTCTGCCAGAATCATGTATGTCATACCTATTTTCCCCGCGACAGTTCTGCATTTGTCAAATCTCATCACGCTAATCGAAACTCCTTAGGACATCGCCCACCAACGAAATGGCTTCGACTTAACTCCTGAAGAACTAGCGGATTGGTTTATGAAGCTTCAACAAGTTGGTAACTGCCATAATATCAACCTAGTTACGCCGGAACATGTTGTGCCGCAGGTTGCACTCGCGATTCTGACGGCGCGCGATATGGGTCTCAATATTCCTATTATTTACAATACGTCGTCATTTGATTCCCTCGAGTCTCTCGAGTTACTAAATGGCCTGGTTGATATTTACTTGCCTGATTTCAAGGTGTGGAGGAATAGTACGTCGAAGCGGTTGCTCAAAGCCGAAGATTACACTAAGACGGCGATGGAGAGTATAAAGGCCATGCATAAACAGGTCGGCGATTTATGTTTTACTTCAGATGGGATTGCTAAGAAGGGCGTCTTACTACGACATTTGGTAATGCCTGGCAAGGAGGACGAGGGTCGAGAGATTATGCGCTGGTTGGCTGAAAATGTGTCCAAGGATCTCTATGTGCATATTATGGAGCAGTATCACCCGGATGCACATGTAGGGAAAAGGAAACGAACAACGAGGAATGCAAAAGGCGATGAAGAGATTGAAGTGCGGTATGCAGAAATCAACCGCGCGATCCGCGATGATGAGCTCAGTTGTGTCAGGGATGCTGCCGTTGCAGCTGGGCTTTGGAGATTTTGTGAGGCGAATGAGGATAGCTCCATGTTTCATCTGTGAACCTTGGTCCAGTACCGGATAAGAAGACTTGAGCATGGCTATTACAGATAGTATCTGTCGACCTAGAGAGGCGCCAGGCATTGGTTGTTTCACGTCTTTCCACCTACCCAGCCTCTCAGTAGATGAGAAAGGTTACTGGGTAGCTCAGTCAATGATGGCATGACAGAGACTTCAGGCAATGCGTATACGAAGCTGGATGGGATGCATGTTTAGCTACCACAACAGCCAGCTATACAAGTCAGCTACGGAACTTCGGTAAGATGGCCGAAGATTACATCGTTGATGCTTGCATATAATCAAATGCGTTATTTCTACAACTAACAATAGAAATTCGCTGTATTATATTACAATATCGAGAAATCTAGTCATTCTAGACTAAAGAGGACCCATGAGGGCAAAAAGGTCGGACGTGAGATCCGCCGATGACACCGACCCACGACCCACCAGGGAGCTCAGCTAGTTTTAACTCCGCCCGCGGCTCAGCTTATCATCTTTAGTTGTAGGCTATTGTTCCCTTTTAACAAGACAACAACTCAACCTGATACAATTCTTTTCCCTTCATCCTTTCACTACCCACTCATAACAGATCATGCTATAACCCCTCCAGCTCAACATCCACCACAGCCACCAGCAACAACAACACTAAAAATCAAAACCACATACACGAAAATGAAACCAATAATCGCCATCCCAGCAATAATAGTCCTCGTCCACCGCGCCTACTCCCGCAAATCCCTCACTCCCCTTGGCCTCGCAACAGCAGCTCTAACAGCAACTGCCCACGCGCTTCACCCCTGGTCAACACCCTTCGCCCTCCTTGCTGTCTTCTATTTCGGCGGCACAAAAGCCACAAAGGTACGGATACGTCGCGGGGTCGGGATCCGAACACGGGACCTATTCCATGAACTCTCAAAAAAAATAAGGTTTACAGGCAACTAACCCAACCGATCGCTATCTAGGTTAAACACGATATCAAAGCTCAACTCACCCTCTCCGCGACCGGATCGGAAGGCGGCGAGGGCCAAAGAAACCACGTCCAGGTTCTGGCGAATAGTGTCGTCGCGACGGTGCTTATTCTCCTCCATACTTATGTTCTGAGTGAGTCGTCGGCGGAGTGTTTCGAAAATGGTAGGAGTGCGGCAGATTTGTTGATTGTGGGGATAGTTGCGTATGTTCCCCCTTCTCTTTTGTCTCGTTATTTGATTCCAGATGGAGGTGGAGGTGGCCAGTAAATGCTAACGAAGATAACCACAAAAACAGCAACTACGCCTCCGTAGCAGCCGATACCTTCTCCTCCGAACTGGGCATTCTGTCGAAATCCAAGCCCCGCCTGATCACCTCACCCACACTCCGGGTCGTTCCACCGGGTACAAACGGCGGCGTAACAGCCACGGGTCTTTTGGCGGGCATATTCGGCGCATTTACGGTCTCTTTGGCGTCCGCTGTGCTTTTGCCGTTCTGTGTGGAGTCCAGTCTTACGGATCGAGTGTATTGGACGCTTGCATTTACGGGCTGGGGCACGTTGGGGAGTGTGCTGGATAGTGTTTTAGGGGGCTTATTGCAAGCGAGTGTTGTTGATAAGCGGACGGGGAAGGTTGTTGAGGGAGAGGGCGGGAAGAAGGTGCTTGTTCATCCTCATCCTAGGGCTGGGGGTGCTACGGGATATTCGAGTGCTTGTGCTTCTGCTTCTGGGTCTGTGCAGCAGGGGAAGGGTGAGAAGGGCGGTGTTGAGACCTTGCATGAGAGTCGGAAGGTTGAGAGTGGAAGGGATTTGCTGGACAATAATGCTGTTAATGTTTTGATGGCGTTTATTATGAGTGTGGGTGCTATGGGAGTTGCTGGTTGGGTTTGGGGTATTTCAGTTTTTGATATTGGGGTTTTAAGTTAATTGGTTGGTTTTGTATTATTGGATGTGTGATGTGGATTATGGGATTATGTTGCTATGCAAGGATGCTATCAAGTGGATGGTTTTAGTGCATGAAAAAAGGATATTATGGCCGCAGCATAGAAAGAATGGCAACACTGAGTTATAAACAGCGGCCTGGGCAGCTACGAGCGAGTAAACCAACCCTTCGTGGTAATAGAGTTGCCCTTCATCTTCGTATAGACTCCCATTTCTGTGGAGGGGCAATAGACCTGTTCTGGGAAAATATTAGTCAGACATGTGCACGATGCTAGGTCCCTGGGGTACGTGTACAGGTTGAACGTAAATTGACCCTGCGGCGGGCGAAAGCGAGAGTTCTTTACAGCAGTGAGCCAAGTCATATCCCAACCCGAATATTTCCGTCTCGTAAGTGGAATCTAACAGGGTCGACCACCGCACTGCGGAAGGATATTTGGTGTTTGATTCTACCCATAGCCTCGGGTTTTTTCTCCTCTCGCCTGGATTTGGTGGTATGGTCACAAGGACCTCTGTTTGCCGATTCTTGTCTTCATGGCAGCGCTTCTGGTACTGTGCTATCCTTGGTGATTGACTTAATTTTGTGAACAGGCTATCGCTGGTGGGAGGTGGGGAAGGGGGCAAAAGAAAGCCTCGACGATGTTATGTGGGCAAAGTGCGCTGCTGGGTATCCTTTCAAGACCAGGTTTGAGGCATCCTGAGGCTATAGTTTGAATGGCGGTCTAGGGACTTGCAACAACGGACCTTGACAATGATCGCGTTCTTTCTTCCTCACTGGGTTCATAGCCATCAGAGTCAGGATCTGGGGATGGCAGTCGAAGCTTGAGTGTACATTCAGCACAGAAAGCGTCATTTATCAAACTTTTTAGGAAGAGACTAGAGCACATCCATATTAGCAACCATGAGATCCGTTCAGGGAAACTGCTGGTAGAGGTAGTAGAGCATGCACAACTCGCAGAGTTCTCTCTAGAGTACATGGCTTAGGGAGCTGCTGAACTTCAGACACTGGGTAGATACAAGAAAAGCTCTAGAGTGGTATATAAACCAAGAGGCAACAGCCAATCATGGCTCATTCCAGAGTATGTGCTCCAGAGGAGGTCTGTTGGCAACAACATTGTCTTGTTTTACGAAGGCATTTGTATGGTGCGCAGTAGTATGTATATTTTGCTTATCGGAACAACACGGTGGGGTCAACACCAAGAATGTGGAGTCCTTCATATCCCTGGGAGCCTGGGAGGGGTGGATGAGGGGAACCCGTGATACAAAACCTCGGAGGACTTGGATGTCTATACTAATAAGGCTGGAATCATAGCGCTATGCATGGTCAATATCAGGGATTTTCCTAATTCGACCGTGAGCCGTATTAGTAGCAACCTTGAGAGTTGATTAGCTTGCATACATAGTACGTGCGGTTGTCGCGCGACTTTCAGACTACGAGTAGTCTCATGACTGGGCATAAGTCTCTCAGGGGGGTAGAGGCAGCCATTGCACATGCACAAACCACTGAGAAATTGTGAATTCTTCAGGGATCAGTAGCGGAATGGAGCTGAGTCGTATTCACTATGGAGCATTGGAGCATGCCGTGAAATAACTGATGGAAATTATTTCAGCTTACAAAACAACCACAAAAGACCCCACAAGTGGGGCACTGCAAATGCTGCAAATCATATACAAACACTGCAAACCGACGATGCAAACACAACGTCATCTCGCATTACTCCACCAGCCGTGGGTGATATTTCTCGTATGGTTGGATATCAGACTCAGTGACCATGGCATGCGTGACACACATTGGTGCAGCAGTTGGTGTCCAATTTTGGAAGTGGGCCAGAGCTCTGGCCCTTACAGGATAGCCTGTGTAATTCTAGCCGTGGCTGACCTGCATTGCCCTTGCAAATCTCAAATCGGATCGATCTGCTTTGATGTCAGAGCGCAACCGTCAAACCTTCCAAACATTATCCCAATCTGATAGCCAAAACTGGACTAGTTCTTGTCCGTGGGGTGTTTGCAATAAGAAATACAGAATCAGCATGGATTATTCAGGAACAGCTCAATCCGTGGAGCTGGGAAGCCCAAGGGCTAGACTACACCCATGCTTTATAAAGTTGCCTCTCTCTTCCGCAACATTCCAAGCAAACCGGTTTTAGCATACGAGGTTCAATTCTTCCTTCCACTTCTGTATTTTCTATTAATTCCTGTGTGTGTCATACCATCTGCAGGGGACTATCTGCACTCCTCATTTACCCCTCATTGATCTGCCCTCCCAGAGCATATTCTTTGCCTTTGCCTACTATATAAGCCACCCGGTTCGCCTGGCTATAACCCCCGCGGTTAAGGGTACTCTATTAAGCTTGCAGTATTTCCTGGATTTTCTTTGTGTTTCTTGGAGGTTTGATTAAAATGTCTCCATTGGCTCTCTCTCCTAAGACCGTTGACATTGTCAACATTTTTCAGAATGACGTGGAGTTCTCCCTCGTAAATGAGATCCATAAGGGCATTAGCCCTCCCGCCGGCGTCAGGAAGTCAATGCCGACGATGCTTCTCTACGATGCCAATGGTCTCAAGCTTTTTGAGCAGATCACCTATGTGGAGGAGTATTATCTAACGAATGCGGAGATTGAGGTCTTGGAGATAAATTCCAGGAGGATAGTTGAGCGGATTCCAGACAATGCGCAATTGCTTGAGTTAGGTAGTGGGTGCGTCATCCTTCCAAATCAAACCGTAACCTTTCAGGCTGCGTAGCGTATCAATAATGTTCTCCGGTTTTAACCGCCTTTCAGGAATCTTCGGAAGATCGAGATTCTGCTACGGGAGTTTGAGCGCGTGGGAAAGCGCGTGGATTATTATGCCCTGGATCTGTCTCTATCAGAACTGCAGCGCACATTCGCGGAAGTGTCTATTGACGACTACATGCACGTTGGCCTCCATGGTCTCCATGGGACCTACGATGACGCCGTCACTTGGCTTAACAGCCCCGAAAACAGGAAGCGGCCCACGGTGATCATGTCTATGGGTTCCTCTTTAGGGAACTTTGACCCTCCCAGTGCAGCAAAATTTCTCTCGCAGTATGCTAGCCTTCTTGGTCCATCCGATATGATGATCATCGGCTTGGACGGCTGCAAGGACCCGGGCAAAGTATACAGGGCATACAATGATTCGAAAGGTGTTACGCGGCTGTTCTATGAGAACGGACTAGTGCATGCAAACGTTGTTCTCGGATACGAAGCCTTCAAATCCAATGAGTGGGAAGTAGTGACAGACTACGATACCGTGGAGGGGCGACACTGGGCAGCCTACTCGCCCAAGAAGGACGTTACTATAAACGGGGTCCTTCTTCAGAAGGGGGAGAAACTTTTCTTTGAAGAGGCGTACAAATACGGACCTGAGGAACGCGATCAGCTGTGGCGTGATGCCAAGTTAATCCAGACTACGGAACTTGGCAATGGGTCTGATAATTACCGTGAGTAGCAAATGACTGCCACATTTCAATAGACGCATATACTGACTCTAGCTTTTTACGCAATAGATCTCCATATCCTGACATCTGCTACCCTCAACCTCCCAACATCTCCTCCTCAATATGCAGCTCATCCTATACCCAGTTTTGAAGAATGGCAGTCTCTGTGGACAGCATGGGATAATGCTACAAAGGCTATGGTCCCTCGCGAGGAGCTTCTGTCAAAACCTATCAAGCTACGGAACTCTTTAATCTTCTATCTGGGACACATCCCTACATTCTTGGGTCAGTCTACATGGCTTCGTCTCAACACATAGCCTGATGCTAATTATGCGAGCAGATATACATCTGGCTCGAGCCCTACACGGAAAACTAACAGAGCCAAAGTCCTATAAACTAATTTTCGAACGTGGGATTGATCCTGACGTAGATGACCCCCACAAGTGCCACTCCCACAGCGAGATCCCAGACGAGTGGCCGGCCCTTGATGATATTCTAGACTACCAAGAGCGAGTCAGAAGCAGAGTTAGATCCATCTACCAAACCGAGGGCTTTGCAGAAAACAGAATTTTGGGCGAAGCACTTTGGATCGGGTTTGAGCACGAGGTGATGCACCTCGAGACATTCCTGTATATGTTGATCCAGAGCGAAAAGATACATCCTCCACCCGCCGCTGAACGGCCGGACTTTGAGAAAATATACCAAGAGGCTCGGAAAAGCATGAAGCCAAATGAGTGGTTCTCTATTCCTGAGCAAACACTTACTATTGGCCTCGATGGTGCTGATACCAATGACGTACCCCCAACGACCTATGGATGGGACAATGAGAAGCCTGCGAGAACAGTGACCGTTCCGGCATTTGAGGCACAGAGCAGACCCATCACTAATGGTGAATACGCCAAGTACCTGCAAGCGAATCAATCGCGCAGAAGGCCAGCATCATGGGTCCTCGCCCAATCCAATGAAAACTATACCATACCTATGGCCGTCAACGGAAGCAGTGTTGAGGCTACAAAGGACTTTATATCCAATTTCGCTGTCCGTACTGTTTTTGGCCCAGTTCCGCTTGAATTTTCCCAAGACTGGCCTGTGATGGCGTCATATGATGAATTGGCCGAATATGCCGAATGGGCGGGTTGCAGGATTCCGACCTTTGAAGAGACGAAGAGTATCTATCTGCACTCAGTGCTACTAAAGGAGAGAGGCAGTGTGAAGCATAATGGGGAGCCCAACAGCCATAGGTTAGTGCAACTTCAATATAACGCTACACCCTGGAGATTAGGCTGGGCTAACTGCTTTCAGTGCGAACGGCGATCTTAATGGGGTAAACGGAAATGGTTACTCAAAGATAAACAACCCCAGCAAGCCTCGTACGCCGGACCACCAGCCTGTACAATATCCTTCTCGAGACGCCTTGCCAGTGTTCCTAGATCTCGACGAACTCAACGTCGGGCTCAAGCACTGGCACCCTACCCCAGTTATCCAGAACGGCGATCGACTCGCCGGTCAGGGTGAACTGGGAGGCGCATGGGAGTGGACTAGCACGGTATTGGCGCCTCACGATGGCTTTAAAGCAATGGATATCTACCCGGGATACACTTGTAAGTATCAGTCTCATAGCCGGGTACTCTCCGGGAGTTTATCATCAGATACTAATACCTCTCAGCCGATTTCTTCGACGGTAAACACAACATCATCCTAGGTGGGTCTTGGGCTACTCATCCCCGCGTTGCTGGACGTACCACTTTGTAAGTTTATCAGTATAGAGTCCCGGGCACTATACAATGCTAACATAATCTCTAGCGTCAATTGGTACCAGCACAACTATCCTTATACCTGGGCAGGAGCACGCCTGGTGCGGGATCTTTAGTGGTGGGTGAGGGGTTTGAGCATAGATTTCATACTTGCTTATCTAGACCTCCAAGTTCTGAAACACATGCCACTCTGTATATTCTACGCTTATATTGTCTTTGCTTCCTAAGCACACGTTATCAGGAGAGCAGTTTCTCTAAGAGCTGCACACCAGTAGATTACTGTTTAGGGCATAGTATAGTGGGTGCCGCCACAGCGGGGAAGCTCCAACCGATAACGTGACGTAGATACCCCTCCACCTTATCAAGCTGTTCTTCAAGTTTATACATGCCCGGGACAATTATCCAGACTAAGGTTCATTGCTTTGTCTTGATCTAGAGGTTACTAACGGGCAGCTTAAATATGTCTCTTGAAACCATCACGACCATCTCGCCCTCCACGAATCAGCCAGTTGTCACTCGGACGGGCGTCACTTCCGAGGACCTACAGCGAATCCCGGAGGTCGCACAGGAGGCCTTCCGATCATTCTCTCAGTCGACCTCTCTCAAAAAGCGCCAAGACATTGTCACTCGTGCATTGGACATTCTCGAGAAAAAGAAAGATGAGCTTGCGCGCGAGCTGACCGAGCAGATGGGTCGTCCGATCGCATATACCGGTGTGGAGGTAATGACAGCTATCAAGCGCAGTCGCTACCTGACCAAGATCAGTGACTCGGTCCTGGGTGATGAGGGCATTGTCCCTGGTGAAGAGGAGAAGGGCTTCAGACGCTATATCAAGCGGAAGCCTGTTGGTGTGGCCTTTATCATATTTGCCTGGAACGTACGTTAGCGTTACACTTTGGGCTTGATTCACTCGCAGGGAAATATACTAACGTTTTACTTTCCATGGAATAGTACCCCTATTTGATCCTTGTCAACAGTTTAATCCCTGCTATTCTGGCCGGAAATGCTGTCATTTTAAAACCCTCCCCACAAACTCCTACCATTGTTGAGCAATTTGCCGCTGCCTTCGCCGAGGCCGGGCTACCTCAAAATGTCATCCAATATTTCCACTGTGGATCCCCTACATTACTTGAAACTATTGTCCGGTCACCTTTGGTCAACCACATATGTTTCACCGGCTCGGTGGCTGGTGGCTTGGCTGTTCAGAAGGCCGCGTCAGACCGCATCGTCAATGTTGGGCTGGAGCTCGGTGGCAAAGACCCAGCTTACGTTCGGGACGATGTGGATGCAGCGTGGGCCGCGGAGGAGGTCGTTGACGGAGCTATCTTCAACAGTGGACAGAGCTGCTGTGCGATCGAGAGGGTCTACGTGCACAAGAATATCTACGATACCTTCGTTGAGGAAGTCAAGAAGGTCCTAAGCAAGTATCGTGTCGGAGATCCTTTTGACAACCAAACGCAGATCGGACCTGTTATTTCAAAGCGTGCGAAGGACGCGATTCAGGCCCATATCACCGATGCGATCCAGAAGGGTGCCAAGGATGAAACTCCAGCAAATGAGACATTTGAAAACCCTCCTGCGGATGGCAACTACGTCAAGCCTACGCTCCTGACGGGCGTGAACCATGATATGGTTGTTATGACGGAGGAGACCTTTGGACCTGTCATTCCTGTTATGAAGGTCAACAGCGACGATGAAGCCATTGGGCTGATGAACAGCAGCGAGTTTGGACTGACTGCCAGTGTCTGGACCAGGGATGTGGCTAGGGCTGAGGAACTAGTTGAGCAGGTGGAGGCGGGAACCGTCTTCATTAACCGATCTGACTATCCTAGTCCGGTAAGTTCTAATATGGACCGATATCTGATTGCCTTGGTGGGCCTAAGATGATGCTGACTGTTTCAGGATCTCGCATGGACCGGCTGGAAGAATTCGGGACGGGGCGTAACTCTCAGTAGATTCGGATTTGAGCAATTTGTCAAGCTCAAAAGCCACCATATCAAGGCGTACCCTAAATAAAGTGGGTCTCTTTTAGCTGCCATGATTTATGAATGTTAACGATCATATATGGTAGGATAGACTAAAATGATCAACGTGAACTTGGTTATGATTGCTTAGTGGCAGGTCCCTGGAGATATATGAGAAAAACCTAATACTTACTCGCTCCCTTTTGTGGTATGGTTATGATACGTAGAAACAACTACTTGCCCCACAGTCATGGATACCCATACATCAAGTTGATGTTAAACGATGAATATGATGGGCGATCGCTCCAAGCTCGCGACATATACCCAGAAATATATTTTCGTATTGAAGAATAGAGAGACACACATAACGTCAACAAGAATAATATGAGCGACCCTAGATAATAAGCACCTTATGTAAATATCACTTAACAACTCATATACCAAAGCATGACTATATATTTAAGCTAATTCGCATACAGTCTACTTGACAACAAACTAAGCGAAACTAAGATTTATTTGTCAATTTTCTTATAATACATAAAATAGATACGATCTTCAACAACTAGTCTCCATAGTCTAGTGGTTAGGACGGCGGTCTCATAGCAATATGACAATTCCTATCTAAAGGAGTTGCAATCCGCAAGCACGAGTTCGATTCTCGTTGGAGGCACATATCTTTTTGCGAATTCTATTTCCATCTCACTTCACCCCTGGGACGTGAGATCTCATTTTTTGTATATTCATTCCTGTAAATTCAAAATAGGTACTCCTCTCTATTTACTCACACCCCAATGGTACCTTTACACATCATCGACATGAATCATCCAGCCCAGATCTGATCTCACACTCAACCAATAAGACCGTTCTAGATCGACGGCTTGCCCTGCTTCCGTTCCCATTTCTATTTTCGACGCCTTCGCATCTAGGCCACATATGCACTATAATCAAGTTATAGCCCTGAACAACTTCTATTCATGTTACCGAATACTCCGTATGTATGTACATAACACATATGTGATTACAGAGGAAAGAATAACGTATGGAGACCCGATTACGCAGTCTGCCCCATAACACAGACGCCCCGGGGTAAAACAAAAGGTCCTCAAAGAAACAAGCGTAGGTTCATCGGGGCCCCATAAACGCCCATATTATGAAAATCATCCTTCAGAGGATTCATAAAGTCACACGAATAGCGAAGCCATCAACCGGACCGGAAGATCACTTGCTTTAGTCAAGGGACGGATTCGCCAATCTCCATCGTAGTTTTCGGCTGGTGGTGGTATGTATCGACGATCCATACATTGTGCGTTGATCAGTTCAGCGCAGCCAGACATACCATGAATCGTAGACAACATGACCCGACCCAATCATCATGCCACTCACCTCCTCATTTCCCCTATCTTCTCCACGGAGTACGAGGCAGATACTGTTATATCTAGGCATCCGAATCCACAGAAACCACACCCTCCGGAATAGGTAACACTCAGCTAATCTACACCGCCAATAAATCAGATTTTGACCAGTCATTCCAGGGCCCCAACATACCTAACCCTCGCCTCCAGCTTAGGTTTTTCCCTTTTCTTCCCGAAATGGGGCGCAAATGGGGCAAAAGGGAGTAGAGAAGATGTGAGAAAGGGAAGTAAGTGGGTATGCGGTGACCGATCCACTGATCTCCCGTCCGTTCCCCCAGACCCCATTTCAATGCTCCCCCCCCATCTATTCCTCCCCCTTCTGTTTTCTTTCTTTCGATGAATTCTCCGTACGTCGTGGAATAGGGGAAGGAGTCACTTTGAAAGTTAAGAAATAAAGAGAAACGAGACCGGGAACGATAGTTCGGAAAGGGAGGGATACACGAATCAGCCGTCCTTTTGTTGCGCGTATTATTGAGCCACTGGGAATGCGTGAAGCCAGTTAGGTGTTTTCCGACGCAAGGGAGAGCATATTCCGGGCGTGAGAACATCTATTGCTTGGACTTGGGGGCCGTGGAATGCAATAATACCGTGTTTAATTGGGGAATGGGGGATGGACTCTCGGGTTTCGGAGTGCTATCTATTCCCTTCCCCTCATTATTTCATTTTCCTTTTTCTCTTTAGTTCCTTTCATTAAGATTGCTGGCTGGCAATGTTTGAAATATGACTGGGGTGGTTCCATTTGATCTTTGATTGGATTCTATGAAGATAGTCGTATGTCCTGCACTCCGCATACACATATGGAATATTCCATGGAACCAAAATGCCCTTTCTTCTATTAGTGTTTCGATTTCATGTGCTCAAGTGGGTTTATGGATATCGGAAGTTTGTTGGGTCTGTTTATTTTTTGGTTAAATTCTATTCATCGCGATCTGTGATATGGAGGTTGGTAAACAATGGGAATTATTGATTGGATTGATCAGTCTTTCCAGTGGAATGTCTGATAGTAAGCGATTACGCGCGCGCCCCAAGAGTTAGTCTTTACTGGTGCACTGCCGCCTCCCGAGACTCTTCTGGACCCTGAGGCCAACTCACTAAAGTTTCATGGGAACATGCATGGAACCGAAAAAGAAAGGAAAGATAAGAAAAATAAAAATAAAAATAATTAATTCATCGCTGGAGAAATCGACGTGGGCTTGCGCACCAATGCATATGCTAGATAGGAGACTTGGATTACGATCTTTAGACGCCTTGCTATGTATGCGCTGTCGTCGATAGGCTATTGCCTGCCTCAGACAAGTGTTACGCCAGCATTTCTTGCATGCATGTTCCTGTATTTAACGGTTAAATGAGGCAAGAAGGGGGATGAGGACCAAAAAAAGAAAATAATAGTATAATCTTAATTTTCGAAAAAAGGGAAAATCATTCACGCCATTTCATTCGGCCAAAGTCACCCTGAGCCCTGAGGGAGATACCCGCTTTTTTCTTCTGCGAGGGGATAACTGCCAAAGGAATGTGTCACATAACGCGGTACGAAAGGAACATAGGCTGTCACTGTTGGCTTCATGCCACAGAATGTGCCGATCGGGTTAAGTCTGCATTTTGCACGGGCAAAACCGTTAATTCATCTAGCTGGCTGGCGAAGTTTTTTTTCTTTCGAAGAATCTCGGCATATATCATCGTCCTGCCTCCCACCATTTTGTCAAAAGGTTTGTCTCTTTCTTCTCCGGCCAGCGTCTCCGATGTCATAGAACACCCGCCAGTCTGTCTTTCGTTCTGTTTTTAGTAACTTTCTTCTTTCGGGCCATCGTCTCTCTTTCATTCTGACCGTGTCCTTCATTTCCATAGAATACCTTGCAGAAAGCGTCCACTCCCTTTTGTCTTTTGCGATACCGATTTTTAGTCCTTTGCTTGCTTCGATCCTGCAGTAGATAGTGGTCGATCAGCGCACCTTGCATCTCAATTCGATTCGACCTAATTGATTACGAAATTTCTTCATTCCGACGTCCCCAGCTTTGAAATCATGGAGTGCTTCCGGCAGATTGGTCGACTGGTCAAGGCCCCCTTCCAGCGTGACTCGCACCACAAGGCATTGGAAATCGTAAGTAAAGGTCTTGAAGCTAAGCCTTGACCCGGAAAATGCAACTGACAACGGGTTCAGGGACCCCCAACCAACTTCCGAAAGGAGGAAATGCCGACTTTCTTCCCAGATGACGAGTCAGTACATGTTAGCACCAAACCTCGGGAGACTGTTTCTGACAATGCTGTTCACAGTGCTCAAACGTTACATAGCCACAGCTCTTCCCTCGAGAAGGATGCAATGATCAAGACCTTGGAGCGTGAACCCTCAACTCGCCAACGAATTAAGAACAATGTCCGAAGACTGAGTGTCAGAGTAGCCCGGCCAGTCTCAGAACACGAAGACTGAGCCCGTTCGCTTAAAGCCGGCACGGGAATGTCTGCCTTACCGAATTTTACAAGTTGGGCCACCAGATTGGAATCAATGGGTACCGGATTGGCTGTGAAATCATCTCGCTCAAACCATCTGCGGATTCAAAGCAGGAAAGTTGGAACTTCGTTGAGACGCGATTTCTTCGACTGCGGATTGTTCCCACGGGGTGGGTTTTCCTGTCGGATTTTCCTGATAGACGGTGAAGAACTTCGACCCTGTACTTGTACATCTGAATTTTGTAGCTCTGGCAGCTCATCAAAATCATCATCAAAAAGCAATCTCCTCTTGGATTGGGTATCGGTTGGTGTCTTGTATCTAGCACTGATAGACTGCACTTTTCTCCCCCAGTCCTCTGTCGAAGCCAAAGGGCTATGTCGAGAATTCGACGACATTGAATTAGAACCAATGGGACGTGCTTTCTGAGTAGGCCTCGGTGTTTCGTGTTGTAGATCTAGGTCATCGTCTTCCGAAGCTGTTTCATCAACATCAATACTTATGGCTGCTTCATACATCCTTGGTGGCGAACTGTTAATTGCTCCTGAATCCCTACCCGTGCTAGATGACTGTGAAAATCCTGCCGCGGCCCTCGTCGATGATTTGATCCCCTGCATACCTACCAATGACCTTGTCTTCCTAGGACTCATCATCAGACCATGCAGTGATGTTCCCGCCCACATTTCATCCTCAGCCTCTTCATTCTCTTCTTCGGAATCCACCTGCGGCCGCTTACTCTGTATCCGCTCAAGCTCAGCCTTCTGGCGTGCAGAAAGTGCATCAGCAGCATCTCTCCGTCTCGTAACGTCGCTAACAGGCGTTACCCCATCGGTCGGCCTGGCTAGGTTTTGGATCGCCGCAGCATTTTGTAATTTGACCTCCTTCTTTCGCTTCGCGTATTCTGCGTAGTGAAGATGTTGCGTAAAAGATTGGGCCACGGCGTAGAATTCGTCTTCGACCATGATGTAAATATCATCGTTCGACAGACCCTCGATTAAAAACCTAATTATAATCGATTGCCCATATTAACAACGGTTCCCTAGAGCTTGGCTAGCGGAAAGGGTAAAGAAAAACCGACTCTTCAGATGGACAGCGGTGAATGGGAGATGATGGCGGAGTCGGGGCTATACTAGAATGTTAGTTTTGATGCTTCCCATTTCCCCTCGGTATACTATACATGATCTGAAAAAGTCTCGTTTCTTCGGACTAGAACCGGGCACGCTCGCTCTGGGAGTCGCATTGCTGTCATTATTTTTGTTGCTTTTGTCTTTTACCGCTCGTTTGGGCGTGGGGTTCTTGCTGCTTTTGCTGTTTCCTGTGCCGGAGAGCCATGGTAGCGTGCGAGGCATCCTGTCTAATGTTCAATGACGTTGTACCGCGACTAGGCTAGATTAAGTCGCTTGTCATTCTCGTTTAACATCCTTTGACCTTGGAGAGACTGAGTGTGGACAGAGATGGGACGCGAATGAGGCGCGATAAGAGATGACGGGACGCGGGAGGGCTTCCGCCCCGCCTCCGCATGGTCACTTTACTGAATGTAGTAAGGTAATGTCCTCTCGACCTGATCCATCTGGAGTAGAGGGGCAACTCAACTGAGAGTAAATCTCACTACTTGGATATCAGAAGATTTTACTTCCTATCTGTACAGAACAAGCTGAGAAAAACCCGCGTCCATCTTGGGTATCGATTTGTTCTATATGTAGCGTTTACAGCAAGATTTGTAATGCACATGCAGTCAGTGTTATGTCCCCAACGCCACATAAAAACCCCCTAATATCAAGAAATCCATGCCCTAGTCAACCCGATGCTGACATTATCGTAACGCCGGTCCATAAAACAGGACCCAAGGGAACAAAATAAAGCACAAAGAGCCATGAATGTCTGGGAACGATAGGTCGCTATACCTCGCCGGGGCGCTTGCTGTTGCAGCTCACAATCTTCACTTTATCCGCTTGTACGGTCGTCTGGTTGTCCAGTTTGAAGGTGACGTCTTTGATGAGGAATGTCCATACTTCGTCGCAGAAGCGATATGTATCCAGATGGCCCTGTTTGGAGAGAGAAACTGTTAATCTTTGATATTCGACAACGAGGCTAGCGGGACTTCTCTGATACGGTGTTCCGCAGGATATATTTACCTTGAACGTAAGCCTGGCACGCACTTTGTCTGCGAGAACCTCGGTAATCACTCGATCGAAAGTGGAAAGAATCTTCATGGCGAGCTGGGGCTCGATTCGGCCGTCATTGATCAAGTCATCGAGGGTGTCGGTAAGGGACAGGCCCAGGCTAGAATAGGAAATGGGTTAGTAAATGGTCGAGCACATTAGATTAGCCAGTCAATACCTGCTCCCGCGATAAAGCTCGTAATATGCTTGTGCGTTGCTCATGGCGCCGAGTATGGAGCGATCGAGGGTGATAGTTGGGGTGATTGGAGCTGAGAGTTACCTGAGTGATATGGCCTGTGGGGAGTATCTGCACGTGATACAACTTGATATCATGTGATCATTCCAGGTTATTACATCAAATTACATCAATGATTGATTTCGTGAAAACCAATTTATAGTAATGATAATTCCTGAAATTTGTTCTCCGATCAGTTAAATGTGGAAACGTTCACTATTGCGGAATCCTGCGAGGTTCCTACCAATGCAATTGGTATATTCTCCGTCGACACAAATATCTTCTGCTGCGCAAAGGCTATCCGATACCAAAAAAGGTTTGTCTAGACACTGGTACTGATCTTAAAGATCTTCAGCTTAATGGAACCAGCAGATACATATTATGAATCAAGTAAACAGCCAGAGAGCATGTCAAAAGATAGTTCAACATTCCAAATTGGCAAGCAAGTGAAGCTAGAAAAGGCCAAGACTGTTTCACAAGCGGACGAGGAACTTCGTCAAAAATTAGAGCAAATGTCTGGCGGGGGAGGAGCCGCTGGGATAGAATATGAAGATGGCAAGCCTAGTGCTATGAAGCGGAGTGTTCGAAATAACATGTTCCGCTATATCTGAATGACCATCGACAGTTCAGCCACCTCATGAGCAGCAGTGCCACAAAGGTGAAGCTGAAGAGACTGCTGTTGGCTTTTGCTTATGTCATATTAGCCTGTTTTTTGGCCTGAATGGTGGCAAAAGTTCTATATTCAAAGCACAAATGAATGCTGGACAAGGAGCTATGGCAGTACCTCTCTTACTAGGTACCAGAGAAGGCTATACGACACCAGGAACTTACCTACAGGCAATTCTCCTGTGCTGAGCGGCTTGTCCCATCTAGTGCGTTGAAAACTGGTCGATATGCCCGATTTAAGAGTCCATCAATCTAATAAACGCGATTTGAAATGAAGAGATAGCCATGTCAAATAGACAATAATGCAAGATTAGTTAGGAAGCAAGGGACCACTATAGAACGCCTTACTCAATTAAACAAGCGCCTCTATCGCCCAGACAAAATTGTGAACTCCAATAGACCATAGCGCTCATCAGGAGACATGGTACAAATATAAAGATCGTATCGCATAAATCAAAGAGATGAGGTGTTCCTCAAGGATCACCGGTTAGCTACCATTCCTGCTAGAACTCCAGCGCCAATGACACCACCGTCTGAAACTTCGCGTAAGAAGACCGACTTCCCGCTCTTCTGAGGCCCAGTTCTCATGATGAGACGGTCAATGAATTGCTGACACATGGTCTTGAAATTAGGATAGTGCTGAATGATTCCGCCCGTGTAAGCGACGACGAGCTCTTCAGGACCCGATTGCCAATCCGCCGGTGTAGGCGTAGGCGATAAAACCGGGACAATCGGCCTGTTGCCTCTTTGAGTGTTTGTTGGTACTTTTAACGTAGATGGCGATAATAAGTTTGTTACAGCAGAGACGTCGGCCCCGCCGTTGTGTTCAGGAGATGCAGCGCCGGAGGGCTGTGGTGAGTTTTCGGTGCTCTCCACTTTCAACTCAATTTCATTCGCGCAGGCAAGTAACCCTACTACTGCCGCAGCAATCAAACCAGCAGCTCGTTTTTGGACAGTCCGAGCAATCTTCCGAAAGGCAGCGGCGCACACAGCATCCCAATGCCACTCACTACTTTCCGGTGAAGGTAGAGAGTGATTCAACCCATCCGCAAGTTCCTGGTCCGACCGAGCACGAGCGACGTTATCTGAAATGTATGTAGTAGTTAATGCATACTCTTGAATAAGATTTGCAGGAAGTTCCTTCGAAGATAATCCCTTAACGTTGGTGAGATAGTCAAAAAGGATGAGCCGGATAAGTTCACCGATGTATCGACCACCAGTCAGGTACTCGAATGGCTGGAAACCAGGTCGTGCACATGCCCTGTCTAGTTCAATGTCCCATTTAGTTATGATCTCGAGTTCCTTCAAGGGAGGTGCGCTGCCGGCAAGAGTCCATTCAGTGTTGATGACCGTCTCTACTGCCTCTGAATCTTTCGACTTCACATGATTGGCCTTCGTTTCATGCAAAGAACTCAGTTTCATTGGAATTGTCGCATTACATCCCGTGCCTACGATGATACCCATAGCGACCCGGCTGTTAGGCAACGACTTGACAGCATAAGCCAAAGATGCAAGTGTGGCGACGGCATCATTTGTGATGGCAGTAATCTTGAGTTTCGGTAGAGCGAAAAGTTTTCGACGCTTGGAAGAAGGTTCATCTTCATCATCCGGACGTCTTGTGTGTCTCTCATAGCCACTAAGAAGGATCTTGCGAAGGTTGAGATCCGATGTAATAGCGAAACCTTTACCCATCGGCATCAACGTAGCCTCCGACAATGATTCTTGCCTAATAGTTGTTAGCTGTATATAGTTCGATGTTCGGCCCCACATTAGCAGACACCACTTGCGGCACCTGTAATCAGTGTGGTGAATATCACACACCAACTTACATTATCGGGAAACTGAAGGTGATTCCCATCTCTAATTCTTCGGGGACCTTGCCTTTGGTAGCATCCGAACTCAAGCTTTCGGCTACCACTTCCGCAATACGATCACCAATCCAAGAAAACAGGTCCTCCGCGTTGTCCATTTTTAAATGTTCCTGGATAGGCCACGCTCTCTCTAGTGTTCGCCTCACGCGCTGTCTTTGTGCTCTGCGAATGGTGGTCGATTTCTCTGAGGCATCCGTGGACCCGATATCAGAATTAGCAGCATCCCCCAACAGCTCAATGAACGCGACTCGTAGGTTAGTTCCCCCGACATCGATGGCTAAATAACGTCCTGTCTCCAAGCCTGTGGGCAAATGCGTCACTGGCGTCGGTAGAAACTGTTCTTCGGAGTGTAGGGCCAGGTCGCGATACACACCAGAGAAGCGACGCGCAAGCTTGTATAGAACTGCTTCATCGAGAGACAACGGCGATAGGAATTGATCAAGTCTGCGATGATGCTCCAAGTACTCCATCTGAGAAGGGTCTAGGTCAGAACCCTCATCCTCCTCATCCTCGATAGGGTCCTCATGTATATCATCATATTCTTCTTGCTTCCTCATTTCTGCAGCCACCGTGGTGATTGGAGCCATTGTAAGACGAAACTTCGAAGGAAGAATAAGGGGAAATTCCATGGAAAGCGGAAGCGTAGAATGATTGCGCACCAGAGGAAGTCAACTTGTGCAACTTGCGAGCAGACAAGTCGTCCGGTCAAGTCGCCGTGGGGGACGGGGTTTGGGCTTCTGTGTTTATTTGCTCTTGTATCGCGGAATGTTTACGAGTGGGAAAGATCTAAGGGACCGGAATGAGGACTGGGGTTTGAGCGATAAGGTGCATGCCTCGAAGGAATCCGGGGGAGTTATGGAGTAACCTTATTTGGGATTCCACTTGCGATCAGGAGTGAATACGGAGTGCAATCAAGCGTGTGGGGCACTTTCACAATCGTACGTTATGGACTGGAATATGAGAATCAAACGTCAGTTTTGGTATTGCGGTTAATTAGAAAAGAGAAAATTCAGACATCCAATGCTGTCAACTGTGATGACGCGTGTCTGTAGTGGAATGATGGAGAGCAAAATCCTGCGGGGGGGGGGGGGGGGGGGGGCAACAAAAAGCAACAATCTCGACGATCATAATGCAGGGAGCTTCAACGCACGCACCAAGTAGGAAAACCTTATCAGGGAGGATGTCTAGACCCATGAGAAAATAGTAAGCTACTTACCTTGCACAAGGTGGTTGCACTCACTCAAAGTGAAAGAGTTGCAGATTCCAAGTAGTAGTTTGTTGATGTCGCTGAAGGCAGCAGTAGAGAGTGTATATGTGAGTGTGAGTGTAAAATGTTACAGTAGATGTTGGTACACAGTAGGTATGACGGAGAAGACAGGGAAGGAGTCAATTAAGTACTATATTTAAACTAGCACGATCATGCGAAGTAAAATCCAAAAGAAAAAGGAACAAACAAGACCGGCCAGTGGATACGGGGAATTCATGGCCAAGTCTCCACACCGGAGACGAGGCCCAGAAAATGAAATACTAGGAAGTGAAAGAGAGAGAGAGAGAGGAGCGAGCGAAAAAATAATGGACACGATGGAGACAGGAAAGGGAAAATAAGACGAGGGTTAGTCTACTAGTAGTTGATTAATATGATAGATAGTAAGATCGAAGAGCCGCTGCCGTTGGACGGAGCGAATGCGACCATCTCCCAAACGATGTGACGCTGGTCAGTCGTATCATTGGTACAATTGGTACAGTACCACCGGATGATGCCTTTTACTTCTTCTATCCACCTCCCCCGGCGGAGCGTCTCGGAGGAGCTTCTTTTCTCGGGTCATGTTGTTTTAGATTTTATTCGTTTATCGATTTCTTTGGTCAATCCCCCCTCCCTTCCCGCTTCTTATTTCAATTCAGTTATCACGGTTACCTTTTCGGATTAATTGTATGTATGCCTGCTCATTTTAAGATGCTACCTAAACAACCTTCTCCTTTTCCCTCTTTTCCTCAATGCAAAGAAAAAAAAGAACCCCCCAAAAAGCGATCTAACAATAATAATTAACAAAGTTTGAGCAAGACAATGCATATTACTTTGTAACTACTAGTAAATTTTCTGTAATCAATCTTCATTAATTGGAACTACAACAGTGACTCACTAAAGCAACTATATTGAGCCCAACCAATGAAAACAATCAGGTTTCTGATATTCAGACCGGAAATCAAGCCCTACTCCGAGCAGTTAAAAAAAGCAAAAAATAAATAAAAAATAAAATAAAATAAAAAGAAACTGCACCAAACGTCTGGACAATTAAACAGACTGACCATGTGGAAGACAGTGGGGCAGGGCAATCTCTACCGACCTCCGGTATTAAAACGCACTGACTTTTAACGTCAAGTTAGATGCCGCGCGTTTTAGACCCTTTCATCTTGTCAAAGATCCCTAATTTGTTGAATCTCACATGGATCAACTGGCGCCATGACCTTCCCAGTGAGATGACACGAAGGTTTCTCATGTACGGACACGCCGTGCCAAACAAAGCCCAGGCGGAAAAGCGATCACCCTATCCTCGTTGAGACTTGCCCGCCTTGTTGGGCGTTTACTCGAGCCGAGAACCTGCAGAAGGGCTGTGGACACGAGAGGAACTTTTGTATCGCCATAAAACCATCGTTAGTATCGCCAAATTAGTTCTCGCCATCGTATCATGTGGGTCATGGGGCGAGCTGCAGAGATAGGTTGTGGTTAAATCCCGAATATGTTTCGGCTGAATCAGGAACCCTCAGGGCCACTACCAGCTTTCTAGGAAGCACATTTTTCCCAAATAAGGTGGAGTGAAAGTCTGTCTGTTGGATGGAGTTCTACATAGACTTAGCCTGCCTCCGAAGTCGGAGAGCCTTAGGTCAACGCTGGTGAGAGGGCGGCACCCTCTAACATTGCGTAGATCCTAGGGTCTCGGTATATAGCCGGTGATCGAATGCGTCTAGTAGGACGCTAGCTCACCGAACGTCACTCGTCACCCCCTCCTGGCGATGTGGATGACTCGGGCAAGTTTCTCCAGTCTGCCTCCTGGTTTATTGAAAATGATGTTATTCCCAGGTAGCTTGCAGTAGCGTGTCGCATGCGATACCTAGCCTTTGGACCGCGAATATCCCCATGCAATCACTGTCTAGCACGCAACAATAATGATGTTGGTTCGGAAGAACTCGCGATGACAATCGTCCTGATGACCGATATTGATAATCGGCATGTCAACATTGAATAAACTGCTAAATAAATCTGTAGATTGTGGTCACTTATACATTTCATATTAGCTCTACTGCGTATATCCCTCTTCACAAAAGAACTCAGGGCTCCTTTGAGCTAACAGGGTATACGGCAAATATCCGGAGTAAATCCGGTGTTGAGTAATGACCTTGTAGTGATTAGCGAGTTATTCATGAATCGTGTCCTGCCGCTGGAGTCCTAAACTGGTTTTGATTGCTTCTCTAAACCGTCTGTTTGTCTAAGGAGTTTCTGACTTGGCATAGTTCATCATTTGGTAAAAGGTCACAAGACTGCCAGGAAGACCTACCACGCCATTACAATGTACCGTGGACTTTGAATTGTGCCTCAAATCCCACCTTACCTCCCTATAATTGAACTGCCATATAATGCTAAGTCTTTCGGCATTAATAATCATCTTCGGACTAAATAATCAGGAGTACCACCTGGGAACAAGCCCCCCTCATGACTCTCGTCAGAGCCAGCGTCAAACCCTAAATACTACTAGCTAATGCTGCAATTAACAACTATGAATATTTCACTGGAGTGTTACGTATACTCACATAACAAGATAATGGTCAGCTCTCTAGTAGTTTGGATGTCGCGTAAATGTATGTATCCGGTTGAGTTCACATTCTTGCGCCTTATACATAGATCAATCCACCGTGTTTTTCATCTTAGCATCATTTCCACTATCTGTACAACTCAGCTTTAAGCCGTTCTGCAAAATGGTAACCAAAGTATTTACCTACCAGTACTTTGGGTCAAGCCATATACAAACCATCCATATCACGCTAGACTACTTCGGGAACCCCTCCACTTTGGTCAGGCCAGCTGGACACTGACTGGGCACCTGGCACCGTACTACTACTAGCACACTGAGCACTGCCTGCACCCCGACCGTTTAACATCATTCACCAATTATAATGCACCGTCATCATGCCGAGAAAAAGACAGCGCTCAGATGAAGATGAAGAGTCTCGAGTCATGAGTAGGAAGGGCCTACGCTTAACAAGGAGTCGAGTGTGTAAGTCGAGAAATCTATCGGCCGACAGCGGTGCTAACGACCTAATACTATAGGCGTGGAATGCAAGAAGCAAAAGACGAAATGTGAAACAAACCCAGGTGAAACATCATGTAATAGATGCATTCGCTATAATTTAGAGTGTATTTCACATGACATATCTCAACAATTCCTACAAGAGGACTCAGCGTGAGTAAGATCAAATTTACCTTATCAATCTTATCTCTAAAATACTACAGCTGGAAAACACAAACGACGGCAGATATTGCACTTCTACGGGCTGCTGTGAATCATCTATTACATCAAACCAAGCAACCGGAGCTATGGACATTCTCCAATAGTCAAATAGTCGGCTCGCCACGCCCTTGCTTGGATTCCCAAAATGTAAACCAGACGTCCATGGCTCCAATGGACATGTCGAGAGAAAACTCCCCTCAGCTGCAAGAAGAAAATTCATCTGGTCTCGTCACAGTACCTATGCGTAATCTGTACGAACTTACTAGGCTGAAGAACCTGCGCGTTAATGCAGGATGGAAGCCGAAGTCCTCCTTGATTCATGATGACTTCATCTCTCAGGGGGTGGTCACACTTGCAGAGGCTGAGTACCTCTTCGATCGTTTTATGCGTATCAACAATAGATTGTTGTGGGATGGTATACTGCCGTTCCATCGCACGCTAGATTCTGTTCGACGGGCTTCAACACTACTGGCAGCCGTTGTTCTCACCATTGGTGCCTTACATACTCCTGGGAAAACCGAAACATTTCACCAGAGCTATGACGTGTTTGTCTCGCTCGTCTGCAGCTCGTCGCTGTCTCGTAATCATAGTGTCGATGATGTTCGGGCGCTTTGTATTGGCGCATTTTATCTCGCAAATCTCAGCTGGAAGCTGTCAGGACAGGCCACACGGATTGCGGCCGAGATTGGGTTACACCAATCGTATCAAAAGTTAATACAGGGAGATAACACGCAGCGTGATCGTGTCTGTCTTTGGTACGCAACATATGTCTGTGATCATCAGTTCAGTATTGCCCATGGCCGTCCACCGGCGGCGGTTGATGATGAATCAATCCGAAATATTGAGCGATTCATGCATACGGCAGAGGTAAACCCTGGTGATGCGAGATTGGCCGCGCAGGTAGCACTATTCGCTATTTTAACAGAGGCCTACGTAGCCTTTGGGAATGAACCAGACCGACCGTTAGAAGACAAAGACTTCGATAAGCTATGGGTTTCTAACGTGGCAATTGATCAGTGGAGACTTCAGTGGCAGCCTCGCTCAAAGGACTGTGCTACCTTGGGGTCCTATCCATCAAAGGCTTTGGTACTGTACTATCACTTTGCCCGCTTCCAGTTGAATTCTCTAGCCTTGCGTGGTATTAGCCCTCCTGGACTGACCTCCAATCCTGAACTTACCTCGAAGAGTCCTTTATCACTGGCGCATCGGGAAGCCGCCAATGCAGCCATTGCGGCGGCTACAAGTACACTCACCCTGATATTAGAAGATGACGACCTTCGACGTGCCTTTCCTGGTGTTCCCATATTTACCTATACCATGGTTGCGTTCTGCGCAACGTTTCTTTTGAAAATGGCTGCCACATGGGGGAAGAGCTCGACGCAATTCGGTCTGGCTGTAAATACAAGACATATTGTCTCTCTTGTTCAGCGCTCTGCAGACATGCTGGCTAATGTTGCTATGAGTCTCAATGAACGACATCTTGCGAAACATATAGCGACAGGAATGCTTGAGATGCTGCAGCAATTCCGTGCTCTGGGTGAGAGCGAGATAACCGAATTTAATAATCGGATAGAAGGAAGCGATATAGACAATTTTCCTGCTCTACCTTCTGAATCTAACGATGGTAATGCTTTCTGGGCAGGGGATTATAATTTTTACGATCTTGGAGGGACTTTTGGTTTCGGACTCGATGAGACACTTCTCGGTCAGATGGCAGCAGATAACTTTGAACTGGGCATATAGTCCATCAGTCGGACCAGGATTTCTATTCTATATACTTCAACCCATTCATTAGATATGTACTGGTATAGATGATTGGATTTGCTCCCCTAGTGAGCTGTATGACCATCACAATTTCGCCTTGACTACCGGCCCGCTGTACGATTCCCCAAGTCTCTTTGGAATCAAATGATCCACATCCAGAGTATTCAGGAGTCCAGGATGTGCCTGTGAGAGGTCTGTAATCCCCAACAGCTTCATTGTGGTTTCCAGTTCATCTTTCATGACTGTATTCGTTAGCAGCAATACTCGGGTGGGAAAGGACTAGGACATACTCTCAATTAAACGCTCCACACCTTCTTGTCCATATGTGAGGCTGTACAAGAACTGCCTTCCCATTCCTACGGCTTTAGCTCCCAAGCAGATAGCTTTGAAAATATCAGTCCCGCGACGGATCCCACCATCGACGAAGACTTCGAGATGCTCAAATACTTGGGGACAGCATTGACGGATTTCCATCAATACCGCTATCGATGATGTCGACCTGTTCACTCGAATTAGCTGTAGTTCACCGGTACATATGGTATAAACATACGTGTCTACACTTCTCCCACCGTGGTTGCTCACAACAATCCCGTCGACTCCGTATTCCATTGCCATCAAGGCATCCTCGGCCGTCTGAATACCCTTCAACACGATAGGCAGAGATGTTGACCGTCGAAGCCACTTCAGGTCCTCCCACGTGAAACTAGCATCAATATACCTTCCCATTGTCCTTCCTAGTGCACTGCCTTTTGCATCACCAACACCTTGTGCCCCAGTCATGGGTGCTGTATATATAATCTCCGAGGCATCAGCCCCGACACGCTCATCCGCTTCCCGTTTCCCTGCAACCGGCGCATCGACTGTGAGAAAAACAGCTTTAATCCCACTTTTTTCAACCTGTCGAAGAAGCTGCTCCGATGCAGCACGGTCCCGATTGATATATAGCTGGAAAAAGAAAGGGTGACCAGGCGCGCAGGCTGTGATATCAGACGCTGTGTATGATGCATTCGTCGATATCTATATATATCATCAGACAGTATAAACAGATCTTCAATGTAAGCATGACTCACACATTGGCCAACGCCATATTTCGCACAACCCCTTGCGATCGCCAGTTCACCCTCCGGATGCACCATCTTCGCCATGCTGCGGGACTGACAAACAAGGGTAGGCCGGTCTCGCATCCGAGAATAGTGGTCCGGGTGTTGACTTTATTGACATTCCGGAGGACCCTAGGCCGGAGCAGGATACGATCATACATGGCTTTATTGGCATCTCGTGTGATCATGTCCGTAGCTGCGGATGAATAAAATGCCCATGTCTTACGGCTTAGTTCTTGGGAGGCGACCTTTTCGAAGTCGTAGGTGTTGAGAATTGATTCAAGTGGGGTTTTTGAAGAGAGTGTCTCTAATTTTGTTTCTTTTGAGTTGAATGGGCAGCTATTTGATGGGAAGGGCCCATTGTGGATTGAGCTTAGATCTGGTCAAGTCAGTGTTGGAATCTATTCATATCGGTTGGGACGTACTTGGTGTAGAAAGAATATCAGTCATTGTTATTGAATTGTATCTTATAAGACTTCGAATCTGTTTGAATATAGATATTAATTTGTTCTCTTCATTGATGGGATATAGGGCTCTATATAGTCCTGGATACCGATAGTTACAGTCCGGAGTTTTACCGCAGCACCGGACTTTTGCCGGACCTGAAGATGACAGCAAATTCAACAAGTATCCACTTTTTTCTTCATTCACGAGCTTCTAGATCACTCGAATCCATACTCCATTTTTTCTACAAGAGACTGGCCTCATTGGGGATTGCCTGGCAATTTATTCCGTGTTGCAAAAATCTCAATCTGGTCTTAGGAAGAGATGAACTGAATATACCTTACTGCTAAGTAGTACGGCTAACACTGTCCAATACCCCATTAACCTCACCATCAAGTTTGGTACTTTCTCTATATTTTCCAACCAACTTATTTCCCACATCGGCCATCTCATTCCTCCTAATCTTCCCACTATCAGTAATCGGAAAGACAACGGGCACATCGCCATCTCCCAGCCAAAAGATCCATGTGGGAGCTTTCTGGGCCCCCAAGCTTATTTGCAGCCACTCAATGATCTCAGAACCAGAAGGACGAGGCTGACCAGGAGTGCTCTGAATAAAAGCTGCCACTTCCTCGCCTAAAGTTTTGTGTTTGACTCCGACGACACAGGACTGAGAAATGGCATGGTGTTTGTTCAAGTGTTCTTCGATTTCTGCTGGATAGATATTCTCCGCTCCTGGAGGATATTAATTATCAGATCAATATGTGAAGCGCTAGAAGTATGTACTAACCCCGGATGATAATATCCTTAATCCGACCAGTGATGATACAATGTCCCTGTGCATCTAGAACCGCTTCGTCACCCGTATGCATCCATACAACCCCACAGGAATCTGTTTTAAGTGCATCAAGAGTCTTATCAGGATTCTGATAATATCCCTTCTGCACGCCGGGCCCCGCGATACAGAGTTCACCGCGTATTCCTCGTGATACGATATTCCCCGCTGAGTCGATGATTTTAGCAAACGTGTGAGGAAGCATATCTCTATGCACTACCGCATCACTTGGCTGATCTGCTGATCGAGACATGAAGCTGATCGGGGATGTTTCAGTCATTCCTAGTTCATGTATCAGAAACGTAAAGTACTAAACGGCCAAGGGGCTCTCCTCTTACCGTAAGCTACCGTCAAATCTTCGAACCCGAATTCCTTGTGCATCTCTTTAAGTAAAGCTGCGGGAATTGGTGCGCCGCCTATGAGACCCGTTCTGAGGTGGATTGGGCCAGTCTTGAGCTGCTGATGCCGTTCCAGAAGAGCAATGAAGATGGTCGGCACACCATGAAGTCCTGTGCACTTTTCTCGCACGACTTCGTGGAGTACAGCAGAGGGGTCGAATGTGGTTGAAGGGTATACAATAGCAGCTCCGTATGCCAGGCAGGAAAGAAGACCTATTACCAGTCCGGAAATGTGGAATAGAGGGTAGGGACAGCAGACTATATCTTTTTCTGACAGTAGTAGACGGTGGCCAATGGAAAGGGCATTACTGATGACGTTCCTACTCTCATGTCAGCATTATAGGGACAAAGTCTTCAAATCCTGGAGTAATACTTATGTGTCAGCATGGCGATTTTGGGGATCCCGGTTGTGCCACTTGTGAATTGGAAAGTGCAGGTCTGATCAGCCTGGACTTTTTGCTCTATCCCACAGAGTGTCGAGTCTGGTACTGTGCTCGACTGGTCGAGGAAGCTCTCAAAATATTGGAACTGTTCTAGGATGTTGTCACCTACCTTCATCAGAACAATTTGCTTCAAATCAGGGAGTTCGTCCCCATCTAACGAAGCTTTAAGAATCCTCAGACAAGATGCCAAGTCACGCTGTCCGATATGTGTTGCAGTGAAAAGCAACGAGCAGCCTATGTAACTGTGTAAGATGGCCTTTCCCGGGTGGAAAAAAGGGTATTGAATCATTTACCGGTAGTTCTGAGTACATTGAAACATTCTGTAGTTGAGTATGCATTATTGAGCAGTACTGTAATCGCTCCGATTCTAGTTGCTGCCAGGAAAACCTCTACATATCCCACGCAATTGCCGCAGAAGACGCCGATGCGGTCACCGGATTTGATTCCATGCGCTATGAGTGCGCGGGAAAGAGTTCGTACCCTTAAATCCAACTCTTGATAGGTGTATCTAACACCCTCAGCTGGAAAGATGACTGCCTCCTTGGTTGGGCAGTGGACTGCCTGCTGGTTGAGGAGTTGCCCAATAGAGTATGATTTTAGAGATGGTTCGGATGGGCCATAGAGAAGGGATAAAGAAGAGATATTGTCGGACATGATGCGCGGTTCTCCCGACTACAGGTGCATAGGGAATGGATGTTCTTGCAGAATGTACTGGAATGACAGATACGTAATTAGATCCAAATACCGGAAAATGAAAGAAAATAGGAGGATAAGCAGATGAAAGGTGGGCCTATATGTGGATATCATTGAGATCTGGTACTACTAGTATATGAAAACCTATCGCAGAAAATTTCCTTAACTCTTTCTCAGTGTGGGTGGACGTAAGACGTACAGCAAAATTCAAGGCATATAGTTTTAAACCAATCAAGTATTGGTAGGAACTCGAGACTCCACAGAACCGATCCAAGTCATCCTACATATCTTCTAGACATGCTAGGGTTACTTGGCATTTAGCCACAGCCGGGATATATATTTCACTATAAAATAGTAGTTGAAACGAAAAGCTTGCGTTCCATTTGACCGCTTTTCCAAAACACCATGTTTTTATAGTTAAATAAGGAGTACGTTTTAGTTACGACAATTCGGTCTTCACTGGCGTTGTTGCTTACAGACGAAGGATCAGGCGTACTTCTGTAGTCTACTATCTGGTGACCGTTGCGAAGCCACAGATGCTATGTGCTCAGATTTGAATGGTTACAATGCTGCATATGGTCGGGTTGTTTTGGGCTTCAATCCCAACGATGATTGGTAACCGAGCTCTATACAGGAATTTTAACATTCGATTGAGGGTGCTACATATGTGGAAACGCAGAAAGGGTCGAGTTTCAGAATTATAGAGCGAAAAGCCCGAGAATCATGGCATCTTGATGCAAAACATAGGTGTTTAGAATGTTGGAGAAGACAGGCAAGAAAAAGCTAACTACCTGGAATCTAACGAGAGCTGCTAAAATATGTAACCTTTCTATGGCCCCAGACTCCTAGTAGTGGGGCTGGCTGACCTACTAGAGTTCGGCGTTTGCCAACAGAGCTACATGGACTCTCCGTCTGATGTATCTTTTGCCGGGGCTGGGAGCTCAGGCTCACCATACCATCCAAGCAGCTTTTCCGGCCAATAATAAATTGAGTAGAGGCCCTATAGATTATCATTATCCAGATATGTTTTCGAATCTCAAGAAGCTGTTTTGGTAGAAATAGTATTGTTGTAGTACGAGTGTACGAGTGGAGAGGCGGTCGGGGCTTCATAAGGAAAATATCGGCACCTGGCATCAACCGCCTTCCTGAGTTCTACTACTAGTAGTACCCCGTACTAGGTAAGGTTTAGCATCCGACTTTGGTAGGCGGTATAGATTTGCCCATATAAATTAGGTAAGGTGGTCCTTTTAGGGACTAGAGGAAGGATGTATTGCGTAATGATTGGCCATTCAATGCCCCATGATTTAATCTTACATGTAACAAGACTCCATCCATTCTCTCCACTTCCTTTAACTCATACGCGACAGCTATCCATCACATCTCACAACGAAGACTCACCAGTAAATGGTAATTATGGAGAAGTCAGAAAATCGGCCTTATGGCCAATACCATTATGATGAGATCCCAACTTCTCCCGATGCGATCCCGAGACGTGCCCGACGCGGTCGTATTTCTCGACTCGCAGTTGCCCTGGGCTTCATCTCGTTGCTCACGCTAAGCACCATGTTCTTCGCTATCCCAGGCATCAATTTCTCTGTCTGTCACAAGATGAGGGGGAAACTTGGTGCAATCTTATCTTCCCCCAAGGGTGGTGAGACACCTGTGCCAGCATCCAGTTACAAGGTCCCGCTGGAGGCTCATATCATGAGCAAATGTCCAGACGCCCAGGACTGTCTCCAGAAACTGGTCGTTCCTGCTATGGAGCAGATCAGTGAGAAAGTCGATTTTGAGCTGTCCTTCATTGCAAGGTCTGTAGGCACAACGATCCCGAAACAATATTGTAGCTTACGGAACTAACCGGCATTTAGCGTCACTAATCAATCATCTGATATACATTGCAAACATGGACCTGGCGAATGCATTGGCGACATGCTTATGCTTTGCGCTCAGGATCTCCCTTTCTCATCTGAGGGTGAGAACGGGAAAACTACTCGCATGCCTACCATCCGTTCCCTTGGATTTGCCAATTGTCTTGTCGGCCAGTACGAGGATATCCCAGACCGTGCACTGGTTCAAAATTGCGCCTTACAACATGGTATTGATTTTGAATCTCTGAACAGCTGCGTCAGCAGGCAGGAGGATGATCCTAGCAATGGCGACTTAAGTGGTCTCGCATTATTGCGTCAAAGTGCCGTTCATAGTGCAGACCTTGAAGTTCATACGAGTTGCACTGTCCGGCTGGATGACTCTGTTTGGTGTGTCCGCGATGACGGAGAATGGAAGGACTGCGCTAAGGAGGGAAAAGGCAGTCAAGTATCTACACTCGTGGAGGAAATCGAAAGACTCTGGGAAGAGAAAAACTAAATGTCACGAAAGGGCTATGATGGCAGTATGGTTGTTATGACTTATGAACATTGTCTCCAAGGAGTGCTAGTTACTGCTTCAGCTCGCATCCCTGCAGGTGACAGTACGAAGATGATATCCGCTTTATATATAAGCATTATTTATTGCAGATATTGATGCTCGCTAATTCATAATGTCTAAGAAAATCTGTTTCTGTTTCTCTTTTTGTTTAGCCAAGAAGAGTTTGCATTGCACTTTTCTGCTATGCGGAATACCGTGCAAACCACAGAGGACCAAGCTAGTAGTGCCAGTGTCTTTCACAAATGCATGCCATATGCTCACATCTCCCCTCCATGTCGCATCATTTACAGACATGTAATCGTGCACATTTGTCACGGCAACCATTCACCCTTACTAATACTGAAATTACCCTGTTGCTGGGACCGTATATAGCAACAGGATCTTTTGTTGTGTTTCTACTATGCTTCATGGAAGCCACCCGTATTTACTTGCTCTGCTTTCACTCCTGCTCAATGCATACTGATTTATTAATTCTAAATACACACCCATATTCTTCCTTGGCAACTGCGCCCTTTTCATTTTCTCTGTCCTTAACGCTCCTTGTCAATCAACAGCTATGGCTTCCTCTTGGCTTCCATCCCCTTGGAGAAGTCGCCGAGAAAGAAGAGCCGACCCAGAAAGGACAGTCGACGAGCTGGTGCACAAATACTACAGGATTAATCAACCAAGCACCAATGATATTCTCCGCGAAATTCTCGGGAGCCCGGAACAGGCATCGCTTCTCTTCAGCGCGCTTCGACGCCAGGTCTCTCTGATCAAATGCCGCTCACAGGCTTTCGAGGACGGCCAGATAACCACCTACGACCGGGCCCTACTGGAGCTCAGCAGAAATGGGGAGAATTTGACTGACACCGGTGCACTTGAGCTTTATCTAACTGAATTTCTCGGGATTGTCCCCATCTCGCCCACCTCTCAGAGTAGAGCTATTCTAGCTAAACAGCTCGAGCTGGAAAGCGTACTAAACAGAGGTTTGTACCCTCGTATTCCTCCGTCTACCGAGTTTCTTTAACTGTGATACCTTAGCTTCCGTCCTTGATACGACGCCGGAGACAGTTATCGATCGTAAGGAGCAGTTTGAGACGTTGTTTGTTGACCAGGCGCCTGTCAAACCTGAATATGAACATGGAGATCAAAACGATCATTACTGCGTGGAACAGACCGGTTTGAAGATCAGTTCAACTGGACACACACAACAAGTTTTCGACCGCATGGATAGGCTTTTGGAAGTTTACCACCGCGCCAAGGACGAGTACTACAAAGCTTTGCAAACGGAGGGGTTTGTCAGCCTCGATACAGTTCGTTTTCTTAGAGACACAGCAGAAAATGTTCTTCGCTATCTTCATACAAACGGACTGTCAGACCATACTTCTGTCCCGGATGTGGAGCAGGTCTTCCTGATTGCTAGGGATAAGGCGACACAGCTTACGGGTGGTCGGAAGAGGCATTTCGATGAAGGTCTCGAGAGATATGGTCGTAGGAGGAAGCGACGGGCCCTCGACTCATACCGTCCTAGGAAATGACCCTCAGGCCGTGTGTGTTTTCTATTCTCTTGCGGGTGGATACATTTGCACACTATCATAACATGGGCTGGATTGATTACTGGGAGTTGAGGCCCGCTCTGATCTGTTTGTCACTCAGCATTTTCATCTAGTGACGTGTTTGTACATTAGTATGAAACGGAGGAATGGATGAAGCCAATGTAATGTACCATAGGTATGAGAAATGCAGTGCATGCTCTTCCAATATATTCCCTTCTCCTACGTCTTGGCGCAAATCACAACGCTAGTGGGCACCACGTGCGCTCTCCTGATCGGGAATTCCATACATACGCAATACTCTGTATCTCTTGTGCCCTCAACACGACACTGCCTCATTGTACGCCAAATGCAGGCTAGGGACTGTAAAGCCGGAGTTACAACTGTGGCTTATATCGTTTGAAGAGAGATGCTGTCTTGAGCTGCCAACAGCGAACTCTCCATGCTTTCTGAAATGGCCTCCTTGTTCCCTCAGCCGACCGAGGCCGCGTATTCCACGTCCAGTAACACAACGCCCTCACCTGTCCAGTATACGCCTGTATCCGACAGGTCCGAGGATGAATCTGGGCCGCCAAGCCGCCCTCCCCCGGGCTCATTGAAAGTGCAAACGCAATTTGGTGCCGACGGAAACGATCGTGACGATGGATACGACTCTTACGACGATACCGAAGAGAAGCCCGATACGGGCTTCCCGAAGTATACGGCAATAGAAGAGAAGCAGATCGTGAAGAAATTCGATCGCCGGCTAGTTCCATTCTTAGCGTTACTCTATTTACTCTCTTTTTTGGATCGATCTAGTAAGTGGTGATATATAATGTTAAAGAAGCGAGATCACCGCCCCCCAAATCATAGGTGATGTACATACAGCAAGCTAACAGCGACTCAGATATTGGAAATGCTAAAATTGCTGGCATGACAGATGATCTTAAGCTTTCATCTTCGCAATATGAATGGCTTCTTACAGCATTTTACATTACCTACATCCTCTTCGAATGGATGACTCTGATGTATCGTCTTGTCCCACCACATATCTACATCTCACTCTGCGTATGCGGATGGGGCCTCGTGGCATGTTTCCAATCTCTAGCTACTTCATTTGGGGGTCTTGTCCTCCTACGTGCCCTTCTTGGAATTACAGAAGCGGCGTTTGGCCCGGGCGTTCCGTTCTACCTATCACTCTTCTACAAACGTGAAGAGCTCGCATTTCGAAACGGATTGTTCATTTCTGCGGCACCCCTGGCTTCGTCATTTGCCAGTAGCCTTGCTTGGGTGATTGTCAAAATGAGCAGCAACGGCCCAATCGCACCCTGGCGGACTCTGTTTTTGGTAGAAGGATTTCCAAGCGTGATCGTCGCAGTCTTTGCCTGGATCCTGATCCCAGACTCACCTGGCAGCGCCTGGTTTCTCGGACCTCGACAGAGAATGGTAGCCGAGCTGCGAATGGAAGAGAACAAACCAAATCACCACGAGCCACGTCGAGGGAAGTTCAACTGGAAGGAAGTCAGAGCCACGCTGGCCGACCCCAAGTCCTATATTACAGCCGTAAGCCCCCATAAATATCACATCAACACCCAAAAGGCCCTCCACTAACCAGCGCATATGCATCAGTTCATGTTCTTCAGCTGCAATGTAGCATTCAGCTCCATGCCCGTTTTCCTCCCCACCATCATAGAAGAGTAAGCATACGCAAAAACAAACACCTACTCAACGACCAAGGCTAACAGGAAAACAGCATGGGCTACTCCTCCGTAACCTCACAAGCCCTGTCCGCCCCACCCTTCCTCTTCGCCTTCATCATAGTCCTCCTAACAGCCTACATCTCCGACCGTAACCGCAAAAGAAGCCCCTACCTCATCACGCACGCCCTCCTCTCCTCAGCATCCTACCTCATCATCGCCCTAACAGGCCACTTCCACGCCCACCTCCCCGCAACAGCACACACCACCATTCGATACCTCTGCGTCTACCCCGCAACAGCGGGCTTCTTCTCCGCCATCACCCTAATCATGACCTGGACTATGGACAACCGCGTCGCGAAAGAAGGTAAAGGCGCGAGCATCGCCATCATGAACGTGATTGGCCAGTGTGGACCGCTCCTCGGGACGAGGTTGTACCCTACTGTTGATGGCCCATGGTATGTCCGTGGGATGGCGACTTGTTCGTTCTTCATGGTTGTTGTGGCGGCTTTGGCGTTCGTGCTGAGGGTTATGCTGCTGAGGGCGCGTCGCAAGATTGAGGCAGAGGGAGTTGAGATTGAGATGAAGGGTGGGGAGGAGAGTGAGGTACTTATGGGTGGGAGGAATATTGGACGTCGTGTGGAGGAGAAATTTACATATATTATCTAAGACAAACTGGTTTACGTTGACCATATGGCGACTGGATATGATCCGATATAAGATGTCACATTTACATGTTTTTAACACCTAGGATAATACAAAAGGCTCAATAGCAAGACACCCAGCTATCAACACCAAGGCCCTTACAGCAACCCCTAAGATCAATGATTGAAGAAGGCCAATCGGAACTCCAATTATGAGCTCATATGTATATCGATGCAAAATACATGCCGCGAAAAAAAATAAGGTATGTTAGAAGAACCCGATCAACCAACTATGCAATCAAACCAGCAAGCATAGAATGCGACACAAAAAACACGCGTGCTCAAGATTCCGACAAGACAAAAAGGCTATACAAGCAACCGGCGCCAAACAAACCCGTGTTTTCCCGCCGAACCCTATTTATCCCCTTTTTCCCCAATGTTCACCACACTATGTATATGATAAGACTGTGTTTTTTTTTTTAATTGTACCAATATACACATGGAATTTACCACGCGGTGTGGCCACCATCAATGAGCATCGTGCTCCCCGTCATAAAGCTGCTAGCATCACTGAGAGCGAAGAGCGCAGCGCCTCTGAATTCCTCAGGGTACGCCAATCGCCCAAGCATGTTCTCTGCCTCCCAGACAGCCCGAGAAGCCGGGTTCTGCTGGAACACCTGCTCGACCATGGGGGTGATGATGTGACCGGGGCACAGACTGTTCACACGGATACCGTGACGGCCCCATTCCATTGCCAGAGAACGGGCCAGCTGAATGACAGCCGCTTTGGAAGAGTTGTAGACAGGGGAAGTCATGCCCTTGTTGGCGATGAGGCCACTCATGCTCGCGATGAGCAGGATGGAGCCCTTCTGCTGGTAGTTGAACATCTGGCGGGCGGCGGCGGTGGCGGAGTTAAACACTCCGTTGTAGTTAATCTGCATAACTTCGTTCATGGCGGTTTGGGAGTGCTCGAGGGCGCTCTGGAGATGGTTGATTCCGGCTGCGGCGATCAGACCGTCCAGACGCTTGTGTTGGCCGGCAATCTCAGCGAACACGTTGTTTACTTCTGCGTCGTCGCGGACGTCGATTCGGTAGTACTCCAGCTGCCGCCGTAGTTGGTCTCTGCGTGCTCCTTTGCGGCCATGAAGTCTGGGTGGGGATTTTCGAGGCGGTCGAGGCAGTAGACTAGATATCATGGTTGGTTAATATGGATATTGGGGGAATTTGTTGGATAAGATGGGGAATACCTTTGGCTCCGGCTTCCATTAGGGCTTCGGCCATGGCGAGACCGAGTCCTCTTCCGCCGCCGGTGATGGCGTAGACGCGGTCATTGAGGTCGAATTCCTTAAAACGATGCCCATTCTTGACCGAGTCCTTTGGAGGCATCCGTGTTTGGATGTGATGCGCTCCATGGGTGGTAGTGGTTGTGGAATATGAGAGTCGTGTGAGTGGGCGGAGCGTTGTGCTTGGCTGCCATGAACGGCTTGCTTGGAACAGCGTCTGGGATAGTGTAGAGCGCATGACTACGGAGTTAATAAAATTAAGAGGGATTAGAAATTAAACAGAGATACCAGTAATGAAACGAGACGGAAATAGCACAGCAGAAGTAAATGCTACCACAGGTTAAAGAAAAATCTCAATCGCTTGGTATCCATACTATCTACGGAGGAGGGCCTGGGGTTTATAGTCCCAGAGGGAGCAAACCGCGTGGGAGTAAGACAATAACAACCGAAAGCGAACATCGTAGGCACTGCGCAAGAAAATGCGAATCAAGGCCAGCAGAAAAAATCAAGACGACCGCGTGATACCTTGATGGGTCCGCCATTGGATTCTAGATTGCTTTCACGATGACTTCAGGGTGAGCCAGATCCAATTCAATGCCTGGGAGGATCCATGGTACATGGTCTAGTCCATGCACAGGATTACAGTGGTAGAACCTTGCCACAGGGATGAGGGGGTGAACCGGCATGGAGCGGCATTGGACACATAATCCCGAAGTGCAACTGTGGGTGCGGTTGTGTCTGAGAAAGTATCGTGAGTTTTTGTTCGGACGATGGTTCATGGCCGAGAACGGTAAGACAGATTGGTCAGTTGATCGAGGGATGACGATCACTAGGTTTGTGGAATGGCCCACCCAGCGCGGGATTCCCGAGTATGGGGAGACCGAGAATTGGCAGATGCTGGATCAGATTTCGGTATCAGCGTTCCTCGCAATAGGAGTTCATAGCGGTCAATAAAATTGCAAGAAAAAAGGGGGGCAACAAGCAAGACAAAAAAAAAAAGAATGAAAAAAAAGGGAGGCAAACTGTATGTCAATTGTATATAATTCAATTGACATAATCAATTCCGAGAAAATCCTGCTTCAATTGATAATCTTTTTGGCTTGGGTTGTATTGCTATGAGCTCACGACGGGTGTCTTTCCCAACCAACACCGGGGAAGCGACGGTTACCCCGGCTTTCCCTTCTTTGCGGAAGGCAATCCTCCAATAGCAGCCTCGGCATCGCAAGTGGTGGTGTAATCCGCCCTCACAGTGAGTTACGGGCCCCAAGTTGCCTTCCCGCAGCAAGATAACACTGATTAGGGTATCCATTGCTTCTTTCATGGTTCTAGACAGTCAGTCTCAGACGATCCTTGCAGTATCAGTCCCAGTCTTTGGGTCATTCATCCTTCTAGAGTTTTTCTTGCCCATGTTGTTTCTTCCCCACACTTTGCGTGTTTATAGCAACATTGCTCCACCAGACTATATCAAAAGTTCCAAAGGTCGGTGGCCTGGAAACCAACTTGCGGTTGATTTGGTAACCCATACCTTGTTGGGATTATTTTCTTTTTTCGTTTTTTGCCCCTTCTCCCAATAATATGCTACTAACACTCCCTTTTGCTAGCTCACTAAGGGTCCACGACAGTACTTTTGCTGCTTAGTGTATGAAGCTTCCGAAAATTGACAATCCGAGACAACCATGCCTGAGCTGATAGCATAGGTGGACAATCTTTTTGATCGGAGCATTCCATCCACAGTGACCCAAGATTCTTCGAGTAACCTGCCTCTTAGGCCTGATCCAACCTCCCGGCCGGGCAATGATCCCCCTTACACCAATTTAGGGGTCTCATCAGCAAACCGTTCATGGTCAAGCGGGGCACAGGGGCTAAGCATAAAAATTCACATACAAAGAAAAGGCAGATCATCACCTAGTCGGTCGGAGAATAAGCATCAAATTAAAATAGACTGGCTGTTGAGATCCTGATAAATTAAGCTCTCCCCCTGTAGCTGGAGCTAGGGCCCGATCAGCTCGGTTACCTATTTGGGTATTCCGTGAAAGGAACCCTGAATCATGTGTGCCTTCAGATTTTTTTTCGCTAGTGCTCACCTAACGCCGTATAATAATCTGCATGTAGGACGATATGCATTGAGGTATCCACAAGAGATTAGATATTGATCATTTGACAGTGGTTGCGTTTTTGACCGCCGACACTGCCCCAGGCCGATGGGGTTGCTTGCGATTGGCCGATGTGGTAAATCTCCTGGTTTCACAATGCTTCTTTCAAGGTCCAGGGGATCTTTCAGTTTGTTTTGCGCCAAAATGCTGCTTCTTATAGGCTTCTTTGCTGTTCAAACTTCACCCCAGGTGGTTTCAGAGGAGATAAATGTGTTGTACTTTGTATAGTCACACCGTCATCCAGCCACATGGACAAGCCTAGTTAGTTTTGATGAGAGAAATTCAATTGGCTTTAGAAAGGCACAGCAGTAAGACACTTGAGTCTCATCCCTGAGCTGAGCCTCAATGGCTTGCAGAGACGGAGGAAGTAAAATAAACATAAAGCTTCTGATCGGCTCCGGCAGGTGTCAAGCCTGCAGGGGCTAACCAAATCCCACCTAGTCGGAGCCCTTAATGAAGGTCAAGTTCAACAAACAGAACCCAAGGCAAAGCATAGCCACAAGGCTTGAAAGGGGTCAATAGAGAGTCGCGCTCTCACTTCTCTCTCTTTGTCGCTTTCAGTGACTATAAGTCCCATTAGTAGACCTCCTTTCTCACAGGGAAGCCATGGCCACCTACCATATGCAATGGTATGTGGCAGTGTCCAGTACGAACATTAGTGACGCCGGTACTGTCCTAGCCCCCGAGCCCTCTAACGGTTAGGGACCGCGTAGGCAGTGACTTCCCTGGACCCTACTCCGTAGGTTAGTACTAGTAGTTCCTCCCGGGGGACGGTAGAGGACTCGGAGTTCGGCAGTCATATTGCCCAATGACAATAGTAGATTCCTAAGTTTATGCTAAGAATACATTACATGACCATATTCGTAACTCGTTTCCTGGGAGTTGGAATTCCTAGTATCCCGCGTTGGTTTATCCACTTGATACAAACGCTGCGGGCCCAATGCTTCCATTTGCGTTCCCGAAGTCTAACTTCATTAGCAGTCGATCCACTCCGGCCGCCTTCCTGGGCACATAGTGACCCATGTTGGCCTCAGTACCCGTGGCATTCTGCTGATACATTGACCAGTTCTCACGTGGGATTTTCGACATGTCAAACATGGTTCGTCCTTCCCCAGACCGGCTATCGTCAATGTCTTTCAGCCGTGCTACAAGAACCTTGATTCCCGTCTCAACCTCGCCTCGCGCTGCACTGAGCGCTTGCCATACTTCCTTCTCTTCCCCAGCGTAATCGACCAAGGAGTCAACGACACCTTCGTCTGTCTCCAAATCCATATTGCGCTGAATGCTTTCGAGACGGACCACCAGTGCGATAAAATGGTCAACACTGGTAAGGAGGAACCGAAGAGCTTTTGTGAATGGTCTTTCTGTCAAAAAGAGTGCCTGGACCATGGTGAATAGGTATCGACGATGTGCGACCGTCAATGTTTCAGGATCATGCTGTGTCCTTGGTAACTGAGTTGATCGGTCCAAACTAGCTTCAGACATTTCCTCAGAGGCGATGCTATTATAGCTGAGTTTGCTTTTTGACGATGACGAAGTTCCAGGTCGGGAATTTGTGGATGAAGTTGGGGCGCCTCCAATCCATTCACGGAAGTGCTGCCAAGAGCCATTGATAACCTCTCCTTGAAAAAAGCTGCCTACTTCAGATAATACAAACAGAGAAGCACTGCACGTAGCCCAGACAGGTCTCATCTGACGGGTTCGGGTGTTGTCTCTTTGCCTCCCCGCTCTGAGCTTGTTCTGGCCAAACTTGGAGTTGCTCCTAGGGGGGCCCAATGGGGAAGGGTGAATCTTTCGCAGGAATGTGTGTTTCCAAAGGTCCCCCAAGTGTAGTTGCGCTCGTCGAATACCTAGAAGATAGGAGTGAATTTTTGAATATATTAAAACGTCAGAAGCCGAGAGGAATAGATCCAAAGGCGGGTGCACTTGTGCTGAGAGAGCTGTTGGAGACGGGAACAGGAGGTCGTCGAAAGGGATATCTGAGATGTTCGTTACGTGGTCAGACCCACCCGCTGAAGGCGTCGCCGCGGCCGAGTGGCTTTTTCTTGTATCATTCATGGATAGCTGTAGAAGGCTTCTCGCAAGATCAAGCTCATCATCTACTGGATCTTCCTCGTTTTGCAACGCATACAGCTCAGCCAACGCTTGCGACAACGCATTCGCAACATCTCCCTCTTTGATGGAAAGCCCTTGGAGGCCCTCGGAAATTTTGCCTTTGGAAGCCAGAGTTCCCGGTCGTCGATGTCTTTCCAGTAAACGAGCATCGGCATGTGATACCAGCGCCGACGCAAACTCGCCGCGTCTCAGCAACAAGAAATCATGGAGGACAGCCAGTATCTCGAGGATCTTAGGGAGCGGTAGCAGTTTAGAGAGTGTGCTTTGCGACAATGATAACCGAATAGAGTTTATGCTATTGGATAGTTTAGCGGTCGATATAGGTGATTTCAGTGTAGCAAAGTGCTCGATATGTTCCCCGTGTAGAGTGACGGGCGTAGTTAAAAGACCTGTTGGAGGACTTGTTGTAGAGACATTACGCTTTGCCTTGATAAGGTTTAATGTTTTCCCAATAAATAGGATAGATAAAGCTGTGTCAGGGGACACAAATTTTGGTTGCAAGTTTGTTCGTAGAACAAAGTGTGCCACGGCAGGGGCATGATTGCTCTCGGCCATGCTACCCTCTTGAATGAAGAAGTCGCCCTTGCCTAGCACAGGAAGGTTCCCATATAGTAGCCACGTCGACAGCTGCCTCATCCAAGCTGTTTCAGCTGCGCTGATTAGGTGCAGCGCCATCTCACCAATGTCTATATAACCCGTTTGCGATTCCGCCCGAAGGTAATCGATCAGTGCTGCGCCCGTGCAAGCCTGGTTGTTGGTTTTCTTGTGATCAGGAAGAATAAATTGAGCAATCTCCCAGAGCCATTCAAGCCGCCGGGTCCAGGGAGAGAATTCACCGACCATCGTTGACAGCGGCACAATTCCGTAACCACCAACATACTCGCTATCTTCCACCAAAATTGATTTTTCTACTTCGAGTATCTTTCGTTGAAATTTTCCGATGTGCTGTGTATTGATTGCAGTTGAAACAGCTCGGCATATAACAGAATGGTGTGAGGAAGAGATCAGAGCTGTATGAGCTCGTAGTTTAGCATGGAGTCGGCTCAGACGGGCAAGGGAGGCGAGGAGGGCTTTCTCCGGAGGTGACAAGAGAGGAAACGCATCCTCAGAGACCGCATCTTCTTCGGCATGGGTTTCGAAAAGTGGTGACGGTTGGCCGGAGAGGGAGAGAAGGATTTCGTGGAGCATTCTGTTTGGAGCTCTCTGCAAAAGCCGTTAAGATATGTGCGTGATAAGGGAGCTAACACTATTTTGCGAGGCCAGGCTACCTTAAAGCGCTGTCTTTGTCCGCGCTGGACCTTTTACGCTGCCAGTATAAAAGTCCGCGTCCAAGAAGCTCGTACCGACACATGTACGGTGGCCGACAGTCAATAGCTGCCGAGGTGCTGCCTTCGTTCAGCCCGATATTGCGGCGCGTCGCGTGGATGCGGAGTTGTAGAGTATCTCCGTGGACCGTGGGCATGTAACTAATGGAGGAGGCAGGGCTTGTTCTAGAGGGTGGGATCTATGGTTACAAGTCAGTATTAACTAGCTGAGCTCCAGGTGCCTTCAGATCTTACCCATTGTACCCGTCATTAGTATTTCCGTCACGCCCTTAATTGAGCTCTCATACTACTACTAGTAGGTGTATTTCGTAGTTCATTGGCAATTTGGCGGTCATCTTCCGCTCGCGGGGCAATGACCAATCATCGCGCGCCAATGCTGAGTCAGCCACCGACAGCTTGTCCCTCTTACGTCGCTAGTACTGGAGGAGACGTTTCCATCGTAACAACGTTGTCTCTTTTCCCCATCTTTCTCTGTCGTTCTGTCAGTTTGTTTTCCAGTCTCGCATCTCAACGTTTTCTTTGATTTCCTCCATCTCTCATAGGAGGCTTCTGTACAATAATCTAGAGTGAGAATAATCACCGCCGCTCTACCCGGTACTTTGACCGCTACCCCTCCTAAGCCCGCGCCGGGAGCTGTAGATTCGAGTCAAATCACTGTTGGAAAGTCTTGCTTGAAGGCAAGGCTTTCGGCTCATATATCGCCACAATTACCTCCGAAATTCCCGTTCGCGACGCTGCGAAGCTGGGAAAGCGAAGAGCGTCTACCGACAAGTCCCCAACTCGGCCGGAGAAGAAGATCATGACGGTATGTCTCATGATCAACCATCTATTCCCAAAATTTCTTTTCATCCGTCATCGCTAACAAGATATAGGACGTCGAGATGAAAGTCGATAACCCACAGGAAACTGTGGAGAAGATTAAGCAAGGGGAGATCGATGAATCTCTCTACAGTCGACAGCTGTGAGTGCTCTCAGTATCCAGCAGCATGTCTCATCTCGCAAAGTCTTATACTGACTAGTTTCCTTTTCTACCCATAGGTATGTACTTGGACATGAGGCTATGAAGCGCATGGGGACTTCGAATGTCCTTGTCGTCGGGCTGAAGGGCCTTGGTGTTGAAATCGGTATGTCAACGGTAGCTGTATGCGGTACGGTCGACTCTAACAACTGTATAGCTAAGAACATTGCTCTTGCCGGTGTTAAGTCTCTCACTCTATACGATCCAGCGCCCGTTGCCATCTCAGACCTCTCCTCCCAGTTCTTCCTTCAACCCCAAGATGTCGGCAAGCCGCGTGCCGAAGTGACGGCCCCTAAGGTCGCCGAACTTAATTCATACGTTCCCGTCACGGTACACGAAGGCGGTAACCTCGTAGATAACCTGGAGCAATTGAAGCACTATCAGGCAGTGGTCCTTACTCTCACGCCCCTGAAGGATCAACTTGCTATTGCGGACTTCTGCCACAAGAATGGCATCTACCTTACCATTGCCGACAGCTTCGGTCTTTTCGGTTACCTATTTAACGATTTTGGAAAGAATTTCACCATTGGTGATGCTACTGGTGAAGAGCCTGTGAGCGGCATTGTGGCCGGCATTGATGAGGATGGTCTAGTGTCCGCTCTTGACGAGAGCCGACACGGTTTGGAAGATGGAGACTATGTGACATTCACCGAGGTGAAGGGCATGGATGGCCTGAATAACTCTGATCCTCGCAAGGTCACTGTTAAGGGCCCTTACACGTTCCATATTGGTGATGTCTCTGGTCTTGGGACGTACCAGTCTGGCGGTATCTTTACACAGGTCAAGATGCCTAAGTTCGTCGACTACGAATCCTTGGAGGAACAGCTCAAGAAGCCTGAGCTCATGATTTCGGACTTTGCCAAGTTCGACCGGCCGCAACAGCTACATATCGGTGTCCAGGCGCTTCACAAATTTGCCGAGGGCCATGATGGCCAGCTTCCTCGTCCTCACAATGAGAGTGATGCTCAAGAGGTCCTCAAGATCTCTAACGACCTCTCCTCGAGCCAGGCAGAGAAGGTCGATTTGGATGAGAAGCTCATTAAGGAGCTTAGTTACCAAGCGCGCGGTGATCTCAGCCCCTTGGCCGCCTTCTTTGGTGGCGTTGCAGCACAGGAGGTCCTCAAAGCTGTCTCCGGAAAGTTCAGCCCTGTTAAGCAATGGCTCTACCTAGACTCGCTCGAGTCGCTTCCGGCTTCTACTACTCGGTCTGAAGAGAGTTGCAAACCACTTGGAACCCGGTATGATGGCCAGATTGCTGTCTTTGGTAAAGAGTTCCAGGATAAGATCGCCAACACTACCCAGTTCCTTGTTGGTGCAGGTGCAATTGGATGTGAAACCCTCAAGAACTGGGCCATGATTGGTTTGGGAACTGGCCCTAAGGGCAAAATCTATGTTACCGATATGGACCAGATCGAGAAGAGCAACCTCAACCGTCAGTTCCTATTCCGCAGTAAGGATGTTGGCAAGCTCAAGAGTGAGTGTGCCTCGGCTGCCGTTCAGGCCATGAACTCCGAGCTAGAGGGTAAGATTGTCGCATTACGGGACCGTGTCGGGCAAGACACTGAGCACATCTTCAACGAGGACTTCTGGGAAGGATTGGATGGAGTTACCAACGCTCTGGACAACGTCGATGCCAGAACTTACGTTGATCGTCGTTGTGTCTTCTTCCGTAAGCCTCTCCTCGAGAGTGGCACTCTTGGCACCAAGGGCAATACCCAAGTTATCCTTCCACATATCACCGAGTCCTACTCCAGCTCCCAGGATCCCCCTGAGAAGTCCTTCCCCATGTGCACTCTGAAGAGTTTCCCCAACCGGATTGAACACACCATTGCCTGGGCCAGGGATCTTTTCCAAACCTACTTTGTTGGACCCCCTGAGGCTGTCAACATGTATCTGTCACAGCCAAACTACATTGAGCAGACGCTTAAACAGGCTGGCAATGAGAAGCAGACCTTGGAGCAATTGCACGATTTCTTGGTGGCCAATAAGCCATTGACTTTTGATGATTGCATCGCCTGGTCTCGCCATCAGTTTGAAGGTCAGTACAACAATGCAATTCAGCAGCTACTGTACAACTTCCCTCGGGATTCCAAGACCTCTTCTGGACAGCCTTTCTGGTCCGGCCCCAAGCGTGCTCCAACACCCTTGAAGTTCGATAGCTCGAACCCCACTCACCTCGGGTTCATCATCGCCGGGGCAAATCTCCACGCTTTCAATTATGGAATCAAGAACCCCGGAGCAGACAAGGAATACTATCGCAAGGTTGTCGACAATATGATTATCCCTGAATTCTCTCCCAAGTCCGGTGTGAAGATCCAGGCCGATGAGAACGAGGCCGACCCGAACGCTGGGAATTCCGGTTCGTCTTTCGATGATAACGGGGAGATCCAGCGTCTGGTCGACTCGCTGCCATCTCCGAAGTCACTTGCTGGATTCCGCTTGGACCCAGTTGAGTTTGAAAAGGATGATGATACCAACCATCATATTGACTTCATTACGGCAGCCAGCAACCTCCGTGCTGACAACTACGAAATTCCCCAGGCTGACCGCCATAAGACTAAATTCATAGCTGGCAAGATCATTCCTGCTATTGCCACGACCACCGCGCTGGTTACTGGACTGGTTGCCCTGGAGTTCTACAAGATTATCGACGGCAAGGATGACATTGAACAGTATAAGAACGGCTTTGTGAATCTTGCACTTCCGTTCTTCGGTTTCAGTGAACCCATCCCTAGCCCCAAGGGCAAATACCAGGGCAAGGAGGGTGAAGTGACCATTGATCAACTCTGGGATCGCTTCGAGGTGGACGATATTCCTTTGCAGGACTTCCTCAAGCACTTCTCTGACAAAGGTTTGGAAATCAGCATGGTCAGCTCAGGAGTGAGCTTGCTGTATGCCAGCTTCTATCCCTCTTCAAAGGTGAAGGACCGTCTCCCATTGACGTACGTATTCTCTCGATCCCGAATCCTCTACTATATTCATTAACTAACCTTGGCACGTAGGATGAGCAAACTAGTGGAGCATATCAGCAAGAAGCCCGTTCCGGAGCATCAAAAGAACATCATCTTTGAAGTTACGGCTGAGGATACAACGGAGGAGGATGTCGAGATCCCTTATGTGATGGTGAAGCTGAGGAAGTAATCTGTCGGATCTACATAAATCTGAACGCTAGAATATGGTACCTCTAGTTTATAAACAATGATATATGACTTTTTTCCTTCAAGATGGTGCATGTTCGCCTTGGTGCTTTTGCGGCGTAGAACAGAACATGCTTCACACCTGATAGATGACCTAATTTTGAGAAGCATAGAGATATTCTCAGAGGGATGTTGGATGGTTTGATTAAGCAACCATCTCATAATCAACAGGTAAGCTCCAAAGGGTCGGAAGTCTAGACCCAGCCGAGTGCTTTGTCAGGTGTTATGTGATTCCGCCGTAAGCAGCGGGACCAACGTCATAGGCTGTCCCCGCCATTGGTTCCCCAGCGATATAGCTCTGGTCCTCGATGGCTACTTAATTCCTGGGAACACTACCCCTCCCTTCAAATATAATCCCTCCCATGTCTCGTCTTTTCTCTGCATTGCGTCGAACCCAACAAATCTCGCAGTTGATCACCCAACCCAGAATCCTCACATCCTACAGAAGCTCCGTCAGCCCCGCACAGCTCCGCCCCTCTTCAACGCGCAGTATGGCGGTAAGCTCATACCAATTGCTCACGAATCAGCTTTTAGCTTCTTACTGAGATTACATCACTACAGACTGGTAATACCGATAAGATCACCGACTGGGTCAGTCGCAACGACAAATCGGGCGAGTTCAAACGCCAGGCTTCAGCCTTCCGCAATTGGATCTCTAGAGAGCCAGGTGCGGAATTCCCCCCGGAAAAAGACCGTTATCATCTCTATGTCTCCTATGCTTGTCCATGGGGTGAGTAATACATTTTATATTCTATTCTGTTTTCTGTGTTGTCGGCTCAATATTTCAATCATTAACACCATCTTTAGCGCATCGCACATTGATCACCCGGAAGCTCAAGGGTCTGGAAGATTTTATCTCCTTCACATCCGTGCACTGGCATCTGGGCGAGAAAGGTCCGGAACCTCCAAGCCTAATAAGCAAGGAACAAGCGAACTAACCAGCGACTTCAGGTTGGCGCTTCGCGACCGCAGACGAGAAACTTCCCGGAGAAAACACCACCCCAGACCCATTACACTCTGATGTCACCCACCTCCGGGACATTTACTTCGCCAACGACCCAGATTACACAGGCCGATTCACCGTCCCAGTTCTATACGACAAGAAGACACAACGTATCGTAAGCAACGAGGTAACTCCAACCTCCCCAACCCTGTAGACAACCCCATATTAACCCAAATACCTCCTCCAGAGCGCCGAGATAATCCGCATGCTCTATTACGAATTCGACGACCTCCTCCCCTCGAACTCTTCCCAAAAGCTTCTCGACCTCTACCCAACCAACCTCCGCAGCCAGATCGACACCTCGAACGAGTGGATCTACAACGATGTCAACAACGGCGTCTACAAGTCCGGCTTCGCAACCACCCAAGAAGCCTACGAAAAGAACGTGACGACGCTCTTCTCCTCCCTCGACAAGATCGAAGAACATCTCCAGAACAATGCCTCGCCGTACTTCTTCGGTTCGGCACCCACTGAAGCAGATGTCAGGCTTTTTACGACGATCGTCCGGTTTGACCCTGTGTATGTGCAGCACTTCAAGTGCAATATCCGTGATATCAGGTCTGGGTATCCTGCTATTCATCGCTGGTTGAGGAATTTGTATTGGGATATTCCCGCGTTCCAGGAAACGACGGAGTTTGAGCACATCAAGTTTCATTATACGAAGAGTCATACGCAGATTAATCAATTTGCAATTACACCTGTTGGGCCGGTACCGGATATCTTACCGAAGGATGAGGAGGTTAGGGCTGTTGCTGCCGTGAAGCGCTAATGTGGATATTGGAATGAATTTCTTTCTGCACGATATGTCGATGACTAACTCTTGGATGGCCAACGAGCTGTAATTGAAAATGATTATGCTTTTGTTTTAGTCAAAATATGTTCTAATGTCACAGCGGTAAATGGCATGGACCGAAAGCCTTCGCAGGTCTAAATATATGTAAATATAGAGTAGGCCGCCCATATTTGGACAGTCGGGGAATCCAATAGGTATACAAATGGAAAATCAAAGTGACAATATGAGCAAAACTCCATGAATATGCTTTGTGGCACGATGCCGTGCCATGCTAGTGAGGACAATTATGCAGTCCGGTCGATATGTTGTGTCCTAGAACACGAATGTAGATTTTCACGTTGCCGGGAACGGAACGAGAACAGCAAAGTCGTTCGAAGACTATGCAAAACTGGGAAAAGCAAAGGCCTCCCCGCTATCGAAAAAATAGTAAGCAAAAGGTGGAGATCATATTTCCATCCAAAAGCGATAGGGGTGCCGTAGAGTGAATGGCTTGAAAGGGTATCTTGACAAATGTTCGAAATATCAATTAAAATAAGCTGGAAAGATCGAAAAGCAACCGGGATAAGCAGACTCCGAGTGTTATGAGCCTCTGTTGATTCTTAGGCTGGGCCCAGGCCGTAAAGTCTTTTTCTTAGCTTTACCTCAGACCAAGCATTCGTTTCGAGTTTTCATACACGACGTAGCTGATGGATACGGCAGGTGCAACCTTCATAAGGTTCGGAGTGATCCCCTTGTAGAGACCGCGGAAGCCTTCGGTTTGAATAGTTTTGCGAGCGACATCGCCAATGCTACTATAGGTTGCGGGGTGGAGAATGGTGCCCTGGGCCTGTAGTCGTGTTCGGAGGACGTTTAGTGGATAAACAACAGAAGCGCTGAATCCTCCGCTTATCGCGCCGATAGCTCCCGTGGTGAAATTGTTTAGCGGGACGTCATCCTCATGGCAGTGATGGAGGCGAGCTTTTCGTGCTAGCAATCCGCGCTTTAGGTACTCGAAAGTCGTCAAGTCAATGGCGGCATATGGAAACATGCCAACAAGACCAAGAGGCAAGCCGCGAAAAAAGCCGAGTATACCATGTTTGTTCAAAACCTTTCGGGCAGTGGCTGCGATGAGTTTATTTCCTTTCAGACCACCTTCCACAGTCTCACATTGCATCCGACTGTCATGATTCATTAGCCTCAGATGAACATGTCCAAAGCTAGATGCATCAGGTGACTTACAATTTTAAAGTGTCAAGGGGATAGACGAAACATCTAGCACTTCGTTAGATGATCACTCCATGGACAAAAGACTGTACAACATACTGAGCAACCATTCCACCACACCCTCCAGACAGGAACTGCGACGTCGGTGCAAGACGTTTAGGGTCATTATGACCTTCAAGACGAGCGAACGCGCGTTTAGCAGACTATGACATATTAGTACCCGGCTAGAAACCCACTTCAACAGCTTAACAAGCTAACCTCATATGCCCCGAATTTAATGGCTGATTCAGGCATGACCTTCAACACATTCAACCCATTACCTATGACGATTAGATTGGATTTGTGTTTCAAACTTCAGCCGACGAACCTGCAAATAAGCTCCGTATGCCTCCAGCACGCCACAATTCCTTGACAGCATCGGCAAGGGGTTTTGATGCATTCCCTGCCGCCCGCAGCGGAGCACCATTTTTCGCCGCACAGACAGCTGCTGATTTCGCACCAGTCTGGGCAATAAGATAGACTTTAAGTCTATCTAGAGGCGCCGTTGCTGTCCTTGATACGACACCTGCAATCCCGCCGGCAATGAAGTAACCTAATTGAGGAGTGTTCTCTGTCAACTTTCGTTCATAATATCGGAAGGACATCCACATGGCGACAGTCCTGGGTACGGTCAGCCACTCCAATTCGGAGTCACCGTCTAAGGATACAGAATCATTCCCAGGCGCGACCCCAAAGTTGAGTGCTCCGCCGACTTCCGCATAAGCTGACGGGATGAGGGCTGCCAATACGTGAACTGGGAGAATATTGTACAAAAGGTTCTTTATGGCCAAGATATAACGCTTAGGAAACGAGTGGTCTGTACCTAAACCCTGTAGATCATTGATGTGGACATCTCCTTCCGGGTTTAGATTTCCCGTGGCCGTGTAATATGACAGGACAGCGCGCAAGTTGGAGTAGGCAGGCAGGAAGAGAAGGAAATCCCTATATATCACTGGGATTAGCCATAGCCAAGGTTCACTTGACCGGTGAAGCACGCACCTCCACTCCGGATAAGAAATGACACCATCACTGTTCGTGTCCACGTCCGCAAAGAATGCGTCCAGTTTAGCACTGGATACTGTCACGTCGGCGTTGGAAAAAGCGGCTTTGAGTTCGTTCTTGTCGATTTCACCATTATGGTTACGATCGATCGTCTGGAAAAGCTGCCATAACCCTTGCTCGGTATGATCGACAAAGGTCCGGAATTCTGATGATTATTAGGTCGGTAAAGAGACTGGCGCCCAGCCGGTTGCGACAGGAAAACAAGTCACGAATCACTGCGTGTGATCTTACCGGAGTAGTCAATATACCCGTCACCATTGGTGTCAACCGCTTTCAAGACATTCTGAAGCATGCTATCCGCATTTTTGAGGGCTGTGGGGTAACAGATCAAGAGCAGGCGGGTCAGTCAGCTGCGCAGCAAGCACGAGACTAAATCATGGCGGATGATATGCTCACGGTGATCAATCTTTTTCAGCCCTTTTTTCAACCCATGGAGATCGAGACGGCCGTCCTGCCGGACACCTAAGCTCTGCCAGAGTTTCGCGACTCTTTCGTCGCGCTCATCTTTGGATTCGCCGGGTGCCATTTTTCGGTTGCAAATTTATCATCGGCTATCCGACATTATTTTCAAGGAGGGGTCACGGGGCTTGAGAGCGGAGGTGTCCCTGTCAAAACAGGGTGGTAATAGGGTAGACTGCGATAATAGCTTGTGCATCGAATCTGTGGAGCTGGTTTATAAAGAGAGGAGAGGTTCCGCATACATTGGTATGTCTCTGGATGGGGCTCCGGCTAGCCGTGAGAAATCAACCCGCGATGATTTGCTTCTCTTACGACATACACCGGAATAAACCTTGACTCCGGTCCGGCCTCACGGGACTGGAGGGCCCAGCCCTACTATACCCCTTCGGGAAACTTATTAGGTCACCTGCTCAGACGTCTTCATGTGGATGATATCAGTATACATATGCGATATTTTCGATGACCTAAGGAAACAGGCGGATTAGGTGGCTCTAGCGCGCGGTTTCTTGTCTATAGTGTTTCTTTGTGCCGATAGAATCGGGTTGATTCGGCCGTTACAGGAGCTCCGAACACTTGGATGACACATACATCCCTGACTATCATCGGGTCTTCTTCATGATGACAACGATTTCAGTCACGACTGCTTGAAAGTCTCGAACCATTTATTAATTAACTTTTTCTGACCATTTGTCATGGCTGCCAATTATTGGGCGTCGACTCAACGTCGACATTGGTTGTTTACTAAAGAAAGATTGGCAGACATTCGGGAGTCCTTTAGAGAGAGAGACAAGGCTGCCCATTCGCAGTTTCCTCTGCCGGATCAGAGGCTGCTCAACATCTACTTTAGTCAACGTGAGATTTGATAATCTTTAAGGGTCTCATATAGAGTTTTAGACTGAACACTTCAACAGAACTCATAAAGCTTGGAAAGCGGATGTCAACTAGACAACAAGCACTCGCTACGGCTCAAGTATACATCAAACGGTTTTATACTAAGAACGAGATAAGACATACCAATCCATATTTGGTGGTAACTACTGCATTCTATCTCGCTTGTAAGATGGAAGAATGTCCTCAACATATCCGTTTTGTGGTCGCAGAGGCCCGCAACTTTTGGCCCGGTACGAACAGCCTTGAGGATAGTCTTCTTTTTGTTTGTCGCTGACTTGCCGGTAGAGTTCATTGCCCCGGATGTGTCAAAGCTAGGTGAATGCGAGTTCGCTTTGATATCAGAGATGAACTCCCAGCTCATCGTTCATCATCCATATCGGACTTTATCCGAGCTCCAACCGGAGCTATCGCTTACATCAGACGAAGTAGCTCTGGCATGGTCGGTAATCAATGATCACTATCTTACCGATCTACCATTACTATATCCACCTCATGTGATCGCGGTTATGGCAATCATTGTTGCCGTTGTCTTCAAACCGAGCCAGACGAGTTTCCATGGGACTGCTGCCCCATTGGCCGGAGCGATGAGAGATGGAGGGATGAATATCCTCGCAGCTTTGGGAGATAAGAATGGCGCTGGCCCGCCTCCCCGAATTCAGAAACTAGTTAGCTGGCTTGCCGAGAGTGAGGTTGATATTCGAGCTGTTATTGAATGCACCCAGGAGCTGGTGTCTCTGTATGAGATCTGGGAGAATTATAGCGAAAAGCACTGTAAGGAGCTTCTTGGTCGGATGGTGAAGAGTAAGAATCTGGACAAATGAGATTATGTGATGGACCCATTATACTGGCTCGCATTTCTAGTAAAATCGGGGCGTTTTGCTTTTGCGTTGCATTTAGGGAGTTTGGGTAGCATTACATATGAAACATGCATAGTGTCTCAGCAATAGTTGTAGTATGTGAACCATCTATGTATATAGTACTGCAAACTTGAGGAGCAAGCATGATTTCTTTTGGCCTCAAGTTCTTCATAGAGATGTCCATTACTGACCACAGCTTTTTGTTTCACCCCTTTCAAAATGGACATCAATCATTTTCAGCGTCCATTTACATGCGTCTACTAGAGAAGCTTTGATTGAACCTAAGTGCAATACCAAGGTCTACGCTATTCGCGTGTTTCAAGACCAATGGCAGATGAATAATCATCTTAGCGAGCATTTGAGGCACGTGTATACATTGGCATATAAGGTCTCCCCTGCTGCCTTATGCGATACTTAATGAACACTATGGCCTGGAATTTGTGGTGGCATCTCAAGTGATGGGGTATGTCAGCTGCACTGCCTGTTCATCTGTATCTAAATACAGAGCGTACGGTACAGCATGTACATACCTACATAATAGAGTATCGCATAGAACGCAGGGAGGTGTTTCCTGAAAGACTAGGCAACTTGTCTCAGACATAACCTCAATGTGTGAATGCTTAACTGAGGGGTTTGGGATCGTCATGCTAAATAATGCGTCATGGAGTCTCCGTCGCTTTGAGAAGAGGGACTGCCTCAATGTCCATGGAACGGCTGGCAGACTTAATTTTGGATCGCCAAGGCCCCAGATATCGATGAATCTAAAAATACGAGAACCAACCATTCCTTCAGTTGAACCCACCCGTACGGTTGCAATAAGATCGGAAAATTAAACGCAATAGTGGAGCATAAGACAGATGTATGTGCAACTGCGTTGGTGTGAGTCTTTTGCAACTCCTTGAGCCACCAATTTACACACATAAGATCTTGTCTTTGGAGACAAGAGAGACAACAGTGGCTGATTGGACACCAAAACTCAATTGAGACTGGAACACGGGCGCTCCCTGAGACTTGCCCAGCAAGACAGGAGTAGATCGTGTTTCACACCCCTTGCTTTTTGGGGTACGTTAGCTTCGGTTGCCTTCGAATGATGTACCACATTTACTCCGACATTAGTGGCCTATAGGATCGCTCATGGCTCGGTCGCTGATTCGGGGTAATCAACCGGGGAGAAATCAAACAAGCGACACCTGCAGCCTGGTCTGTGTCATTGAATTGTGAAGATTTTTGTATTAAGTGTATCAGTTGCTCCTATACACATGTATACTAGTTCTTGCCCTCCCTGTCCGTGGTCTCGTCTCCACAAACATTATACTCTGTATAGCAAGACAGCCCTGGAATAGTTGAGAGATGGAAGGTATAAGACTCGTATAATGTCGGGGATTAATCAACGCAATAGTTATGACTTATCATTAATAATGACATTATCAACAGAGTTATAGTCAAAGAGGGGCAGGTGTATGGCTGGGAGGGCGGAAATCCATCTCATCGAACAAAAGGGGCGGTGAGATGAAGATGCCGTCTTTCAGGAACAATTAAGTTGGTCTCGAAACTAAAAAAGCCCTCAGGCTCATCGACAACAAGTTACCAACACGTCCTGCATGCAGGGTGAGGGTCTCTGGCGCCAATGACGGATGGGTACCCAATGCTGCACCTGAGATAATCGGGAAAAGCATAGTACTAGTCACCCATCCCCAGGAGTCCATGTGTAGGGCTTGCAGGAGGTGTGACCCTATCAATGCCCATCATGCTGTTCCAGTAATCGCCAGCTTACCTCACAGTAGTTCCACACAGTGCATATCGCATAACGTACTAGTTTTCTGTATCCTCCAACCACTCCTATCGCTTTAGAGTCGGGGACTCTAACAGGGAATTGAGGAAAGGCCCAGGCGATCAAAGCACATACCCGGCACATGCGTCGGGGGCGTTTGGCAGCAGAATTCAGATACATATCTATTATTATCTTTTTAGATGATGATGAGCAAGCGCCGTTAGTTTGTTTCGAAAGATGTGCAGACCACATTGTGGCTGTAGCACCGCCTTTAAAAGCGGCATGAAAGTCCTGGGAAAAGATCTGTCTTTACAGGGAAAGTCGGTATTACACTATCTCTGTGATACTTCAGCAGTATCGCTGTTGTTGTCATTGTTGTCTGCTTTTGTACAGAATGTGTACCACTCTCGATGTCGGGTTCTGTTGTTGCTGGTCCAAACAACAACAACAAACAAACAAATAATCAAAATTACCTAAATTTACCCCATCCATTTCGTCCACCATGAGTCAGATAACAGCAGAAAAGTACTGGGGGTTCCACGTATGCATCATACATTCTGTATTCCGTACACCACTATGACTGAATAAGGTAGTTATTATTACACCCAATACCTGAGTTAGTGCTCCGTCACAATGGGGATTTTCAGATCAGGTGGAGGATAGACTTTTACATTGGAAAACTGTCGAAGCCGCGAAGACCGCAGGGCGATGTCAGAGGCCCAGAGCAGGATTTGCTATCAATGAATGGTTGGGGGAAACAAGGATCCGCTTTAGACTTCCAGGACCAAGTGGCACGGTTCAAGGGAAAGGTACCGAAAATGATCGCAGCAAATCATTCTCACCCAAAGGGGTGAAGTGGAGCCTAAATGTTGCAAATCATTACCCGCACATGTCGTCGTAGGCGTTTTCTCCCTTTTTCCTCTTTTTCCTTTTTGTCTGTCTTCGGAAATGGGTACCACATTCCTTTCCCCCATCATGTTCATGAACGTCTTGAAACCCGCCTTCTCCTACAATGAAATGGGAAAACAACTAAAAATGCTTCATTTAGTAGGGCAAAATAGACACATCTGCCCTCTTCCCTCGTTATTGGCAATAATATGATGTAGTCCCTCGTCATCCCTATGCATACTCGCCATGATCTTCGTTGGTCTTACAAAATACTGTTGTAGATCCACAGCCGTTTTCAATAGTCCGTAGTACGCCGGTCGTCATTCCATAACACAGTGTCAACGGCCATTATGTACGCATCATACAACAGGAAGTCGGGTGCACAACCGACTTAACCATCATACCATCCATCGTATCGTAGTTGTACTAGCGGGTATTAGTTTATCAACAGAATACGAGTACAGCCTTAAAGACCAGGCTGACACACTAGGGCCGGGCATTGGCCGACAGCCACTGATGCTCGATCAAGTAATGCCCAGATATCAGGTCTCGAGATGGTGGAGGTTCCCTACCCTTGATAAGGATTAGGGCGAAACTTACAACGTCACTCTATTCCACTTTGGTAGCCGCCTCGAGCCGCTCTGATATTTAATCATTGGCTGCTGATCCAAAGTGGCTGTAATATCTCCACTTAGAGTTCGCGTTGAGGTCAGCTATTGGCTTTTGATACTTAGACTTGCCACTGAGCTGCCGCCAACGGCTCTCTGGTTGGGTGACCTCCTGCCCTAAAACTGGTGCGTGACCTTGCCAGTAGCGCAGGAGGGTCGGAACGGATTTGTTACGAAACTTACCACAACACAGATGTGCCGGAAAAGGGGAACTCTTGTTGATCGCCGGGAGTACTAGTACGGTACGTTACGAATGATTCCCTTGCAATGCTCCACTCACTCAGCCCCAGCCGAATAACACTTGCAGCCCCTCTTGCTTTCGCCTCCGTCCACTCCGGGCTCTTTTTCTTCGCTCCCGGTCTTCTTTTCAACTTCTTGTCCCGCCATCGATCAGTGATTCCCCATCCCACACAACCACTAAACGCATTTTCGTCTCCGACCCTTCGCTTCAATTTTCTTCTCGTCTCCTTCAGTAATATTTCTCTTTCCTCTCGTGATCTCTTCTACCTTATCTTCAATTACATTCCAACTGACCCTTTGTCATTCTCCCTACTATTTCCTTTTAAAAGTCTGTTTATCCTCAGGATTCCAGCGTGCTGGTCCCTTGTTTGTATCCACCTTCAAGACTCGACGATATAACGGCTCTGTTTCTTCCGTTTTATTTACCACAACTACACCAAGATGTCGGCATTCTTCTACCAGCCACAGCAGCATGCTCACCACGGTGCCGCTGCGCACATGCAGCCTTCGAATAACCACCACGGCGGACGCTCTCGGCGAGGACCCAAGATGGCCGCTCAAAACGCCCAGCGCCAGTTCCGGGGTGTAAAAAGTATGAGGGAGCTCGCTGAGGCTCCTGCAGTGACTGCCTTCCGCGCGAGGTTTGAGGCTGGACGGTCTTTCGACTTGGACGACGACTTGGAGTTCTGCCCCAGTCTCCTGACCGAGGACGATGTATGTTCTTCCACAGCCTGAGCATCGGCTCCCTTGACCCTTCCAGACTGGAAATCGTCTTCCTCGTATAGTACAGGACAATCTTCTAACATACATCTGAACCTCTACAGCTTCACTCAATCCATTCCGCTGGTTCAGATCGGTCGTCTCTTTCCAGTGGCTCTCCCGATTCGTCTCCTCTCCAGCATCAAATTCAGCCTGTTCAGCAGGTGACACCGTCCATCTCTTTATCTCCCGCATCTACCAACTCATACGTCCATTCCGGCGTTACCGGTAATCTTAATCACGTGAACTTTCAGCAACCATCTGCGGTCCGCACCCGCAAGGTCATCCCTATCGTCAACCCCCATACTGGCATGACCCTGACCAGCCCGCCCACGTCCATCTCCCCGGCCTCGATGCAGAATGCTCAGCGTCGCTGGTGAGGACCGCTATCTTACCAGTCGCCATGTCACTAACCAAGGGCTTGCGCCCATGACATGTCTTCCACTTCGTCCGGCTTCTGCATCATCGGGATTCCCTAACCGCGGGTCTTAATTTTCGTTGCTTTGTTTACTATTTGACATGGCCATCGCATCTCTTACGACTAAACCGATATTCCCTTTTTCCGCGATAAAAGGCTAAATCATTGTTTCCTCTTTTGTATATACACCCTCCTCCGATGACGATCTTGAGCACTTTTATCTAGAGTGATGCTTTCGACTTTCTGCGAGCGACGGCGCCTACGATTCGATTTTTGCATTTTCACATTTCAGACGATACCTTGTTTTTGTTCTTCGGTTAGGGAAAATACGTCCTTTTGACCTCGTGTCGTTTTGGCCGCGATGATGTATAGAAAGTGCGGCGATTTGCCATATTGGCGCGCATTTCTTTTTGGTCCGGAGTTTTTTCTTGGTGTCCTTTGGCGACTCTGCAAGATGCTCAGCGGTTTGCCATCTATTTCTGATATCCTTGGTTGGTTTTGGGTGGGTCGGATTTTTTCATGCTTTTAGGGATCTAGAAAGGTGGAAACGATATATGTCTGCATTGATTGGGCCTGTGAATTGTTCGGGATGTCTTGTGTTTCTTTGATCTTATCTTTCGCATTTGTGCCTTTACCAGATCTCTTTTCCTTCATTTCTTTCATGTATATGGGTTGGTGATGGGTGACATTTCTATGTTGTTACTTCTGGCTAACGGCTGTGAAAATCCATGGACTGGATGTGGAGTTTGTCTCGGGGTCTGTCTGGGAGACATAGACCGGTTTTAACTTGAAAACTATGTTCTTTGGTGTCGTGAATCGACCGTCAATTTTGCTTCATTTGCTTCCACGTTGACTCGTTTGGATTTTTTCAATATATCTGGGAACTCCCGGAGAGTGATGCAGTGTATGATCTTGTGTTTCCGTTCGTTTTTGGATATTCCGTCATTCCATCCCATTTCCTTTGTCTATATGCCTTTTTCCTTCTAAGCTATGCGGGTAATGCCTAAACATAGTTGTGAGAATAGCTTTGGACACAGTCCTATTTTGAAACTTCCACTTCGGTAGACATAGTTTCCAGAACTCGGCTGCAAAGGGTATGGCAAGAGTTGACACCACCACTGAGGGTCTTTCAGGTAAAAGTGTACCTGATGGTGGTACAATCTTGATTGATGATTCCGGCTGATAGCCTTCTTGTCTGGTGTCACCACAGTCGTACCCTACTCTCGTCATACTCTAGTATGCGGCTTTTCATCTGGGAGTGCAATGCAGAACTGCTGGACGCTGTAGGACTAATCTTACGGCTCGGATGTGGCTTGGAGAAACTCTCATAGCCTTACATATATATTATGTACTAGCCTTATGAACGGAGCTATGTAATTAAATAGAAGGAGAAAGCTGATACTGACACAGGAGAAAGAACCGTAAACTTTCGAGTGCCCCATCAGCGGTGGTTCTTAAGCTAAGTACTGCGTAGTACAAAGAACCGTCTTGGCATATTTACCATATTTTAATGCCGCGCAACAACATTAACTAACACTCCTCTCCTGAATGGTCATAAAGGACTTGAACTACTACAAGGACAAGGAAGAAACAGAGAAGACAATGAAACTCTAGAATGCCCGACACTATATCTCAATCATTGAAAGGAGGTCGTTGCCTCGATATTCTAGAAATATATTCCGTACATGCTGGAGTATATAAAGACCTCTTCAGCAAGAGTTACACCAATATCAGGAAATTGACTTTTTGTTCAACACTTGTGCCGTGCACGATTTCCGATCTAGATGTTTCAGAATGAAGACGACTACGATTCTACCTGGATTGATCCTCACCTTCCTCTCTGCCAACCAAGCACAAGCAGTACCCGCCGGAGGACAAAAAAACCTACCCCCCGAACAACTCCCTTCCATAGGGCAGCAGTTCCCTAAGCCCCTTCCTCTAGACAACCTTGTACTACTATCACCAGGCAGTAACTAGCCCCAAGCGGCCCAGCCAGGACAACATATTCCCTCAAAACCATACAACGCCCCCCACCCTCAGTATACGTCCCCGCAAAGTATCAACAGCCCGGATACTGGGGAGAACTGATAGATCTAAACCGCAAGGGAAACGAACAGATGCCAGCGACGGGACAGGCCCCTCTTTGGATTAACGGTGTTAGTTCAGGCCAAGAATGAACAACTGATTACTCGGCTAACTATGCTTACTGTACAGCAATGCGACAAGGTAGCAGGGTCAGTGGGCATGTGCAAAGTTACATATCGTACGGGCACACGGAATAACATTTGGGAATCGCCATGTAGACGCGAATCCCCGGTAAGTAGAACATCTAACTGCCAAGGTTAATATTGTTTTATACTCGGTGCTGATCCTCTGGTAGTGTGCGACGCATAAGGATCCGTGTACTGTTAAGACGATTAAGAATAGTCAAGGAGGGTATGAAAATACCATGACGCTTTCGTTTTGTGCTGCGAATAAACCGACGTTTCGGGTTGATGTTTGATTAGGAAGTGGGAATATACTTCCATCTGGAGGGTATCTTGACCCGGTGGTTTGACGGGTGGCTTGACTCTGCTGTGTGGGGGCGCAGAGGGATGTACGTGTATGGTTATTCAAACATGCATAGATGGGGCGACTAATTCCAGGGTTGAATGTGAGGTGCTACCGGAGAAGAGTCCTTCGGATGGGGGGTAAATTGAATCGACGTTAGTTCATTGGTTTATTTGTAGTGATGGTTGATGCAATAATGCTCGTTCAGTCTTTTGTTTCCTGTTGTCCAGATGCTCTCTAAGCCTAGAGGATGGCCTGGGTTGCCATCGATATGCTGTCTGTTCTTGGAGTTCTCAATATTCCTTGAGGTAGCAGAAATAACTGGTGATCTGTATGTGGTCACCTGGGACACGCGATTGAAGGATGAAAGGGGCAAGCAAACAACTGTGCTAACCAAATTCTTATCCATTGGCACCCATTTCAGCTACCATGGCTTCTTTTTAATACGCTCAAGCTCATAGGAACACAGCCAAGTATGTCCATACTCCGGAGTACATGCAAGCTGCCAAGGCCTGATATGAGGTGTAACCCCTGCTCGTGATGTCATCCCCACGACGATCAATATAGTCCAAAACAGCCTCGACAATTCACATTCACGACAACGACGTACGCCGGAGTATATGCCAAATAGAATAGGTAGGACTAGGCTATAATGTTTTCCCCAAAGCACATAGCCTCCAATTACCGAGTTAATAAAAACCCACGAAAAAGGTACGGAGAATGGACTGAATGTCCCTCACTGCCAAGAACGACCAGGATTGAGTATGAATGACGTCACTGGTGACATTCAGGACTTTTGTGTCGACAGCAAACCCATTCGCTCACATGGAATTACGAAGGCAGTGAAAGAATCAATTCATCTGGTCTTCGGCTCTTTCTTCTCCTCATCTTCCTTCTCTGCGAACCATTATAAATACAACGTGTTGTACCGCATCGAAAGAACGTGCAAGATACATGCTTCTACTTTTTACCATAGATCAGACTTACCTTTTCTTGATACGGTAAGGTTGCCACCTTATTTCATGCAATGGCTGTCTCTACAATGATGAGAGTTGCTGCTAACGGCTCTAGTCTTACACAGAACTACCATCCTTCGAATTTCAACGACTAATTGACCAAGTGACCGATACCATGTCCTTCCTCACTTCCACCATCCGTTCCACAATCGCCCCCCGTGTGGCCCTTCGACCATCTTATACCGTTACCTCCGCCTTCCACACCTTTTCTTTCCGCTCGGGTCTCAAAGAATCTGATCACAGTTCGTTACTCCCCTTGTTGCCCCCAGTTTGAAAGCACACTAATCTAACCTTTCTAACCCAAGACCGAGAGGACCTACACATCACTTACGAAGAGCACAAACAGGACCAATTGAGAAGCACCAAGGAAGGAAAGGGGAAGTGGAAGCAGGAACTCGCCAGTAACAGTGAAGCTTCAGTAAGCTTTCCTCCTTGCCCCTTTTCTCATTGTAGGTAGACGATCATGATGTTAATGTCATATATAGGTCAAAGCGGATCGGGGTGAGGTCGATGGTGACGGACACGATCTGAAAGATTTACAGGAGAAGACAAAGCATCTGCCCAACCGGGACTCTGGGAGGGGCCAGTGAATAAGACTCAATAAAGGGATAGGTTTTAGCTTCCTTTTTTCTTTTGTACTATTGTCTTTTCTTAATCGGTGTACTAGGGTGTCAATTGAGCTTTAGGGAGAGGTGCCTGATTTGATTAACTCAGGGTAGCATCCTTCATGGTGTCATGTATAACTACCCCTGAGGAATAAGATCGGGTGTATGATATTGATATGGGATATAATATGTAGATTGTGTAGGGTGGTGGGGTGTAGGGCTCCGAGTCCTTGTTGGGAGCAGCATAAAAGCAGTGTAATGGGATAATTGCTGCCATATAACGAACAAATCCGTAATTTATGATCACTCCAGACACCATATAAGTTCAAACATCAATGTAAGGCAAACCGACGATACATTCATAGGGAATCCCGCCCCCTTGTCCAAAAAAGAAACGCCCTGCGCCTTTCAGAGAAACACCCCCTTGACCAAAATTCACAAGAATGTGAAGTATACCAGAGGTTCTATACGCTCTAGGCTTTATTTCAAAATGACAATGAGAATGACCAGGATAATGATCAAACCGACGATCGTCATTAAGCTCCAGTTGTCACCCGCGCTTCTCCGGATCTTGTCCAGTCGTTTTCTAGCCCCATCTAGCCGATGTTGATGTCGGTCAACATCACCATCCATACCGTCTAACAGCGCGACATGGCCTTCTAGCTCATCCCCAATCTGGATACTGAGTTGGTGTTGCCGCCCGATGGATTCGCCTAGGCGATCTAGCTGTTCGTCCTGGTCGCGCATGATCTCATTGTGTCGATCATGTATTTGTTCATTCGACATGTCAGATTGGTCTACACCGGGAGGGGAAGGTGAGTCGCGGTACGGCTGGAACAGGTTTTGTCGCTCGAGATCAGCTTCTTCTGTAGCCGAGTTCATGAACCGCACTGACTTTGAAGGAGGATGCTGCGGGACCGGTTGTTTGAGATCAGGAGACGACTTGACATTGGCGAATTCAGGCGATGGGGATGAGCCGCCGGCGCCGGCTGAGGTGCTGTGTCCGCTGAACTGCGACGACAAATCTTGATACTGCGATTTCAAATGGAATAGCTGGTCTTTCAACTCGGCGGCGCCATCATCGTGGGCCTGTTCCAGCTGGGAGAGGTCTCTTTCCACATCCTCGATGCCGTCGTGCAACGATTCCAAAGAGCGAGAGATCTCTCCGTCTTGGCTGTTGGGTTCCAAATCCAATGAGATCGCTCGCTGTCGTTCTAAGAGGGAAAGTTTGATGTGGTCTGCAAGAAGAAAGAGCTGCGATGGGTTTGGCATTTTGAGGTAAGACGGTGGGCCCGGAATGAGAAGGTGATATGTCGCGAATTGGTGAAGTGTCGCAGTCCGGCTCAGCCTGACTGATGAGGCAATGCGGAGAAGACGAAAGACTCGGGTAGATCCTGGGAGTCTGACAAATTCGGGATTGGTTTACCAGGAAAGGATAGGGTTATGACTCGCTCACTCTGATCGACACAGCCAATAGCCCCAGAATATTGGTGAAAACGATGGTAGTAATGGTGGAATGCAGATGGAGGAAGTGTGACCGAGGGGGTGAGACGAAAGGCTGTTCTCGGCCGGGCGCGGGAATGATCTGCCGCCGCCGCCGCCCAGTGGAATTGCTATCAATTATCGTCCGCTCAACTCGTCCCCCGCAATACTCCCGATTTCCTTTCCTTGTCTCCGGTTCTCCGAGTTCTAACTCCACCCCTTTACCTATTTCCAACTCTTTTCTTTGTGATACTTCGTCGAAGTTTGTCGCCATCGTCCGCCGAGCCAACACATTCCTAGCGGGCTTCAGCCACCGTGTAACCCCTCATGCGTGCCTCTCGGGGCTATTGTTTCATCCTCTTATCCCTTCGGCAACTCGAAAGACGATCCGTTCTCGATCGCCCCCTACATTGATTGTTACTTGTGCGACGAGGCTGAGGGCCTTTGAAAAATATAAATCCGGCGCGCTGCGAACCGGGGGCACTTGGGCAAGATGAATATCGACGAGTTTCTTGCGATGGAGCCGAGCAGCGACCTTGACGAGATTGTCGACCTCCGCTCCTTGGACTATGTTTCCCGGTATGACGATCATCTCATGTGTGCAATATGCCACTGTCCATACATACGCCCAGTGAGATTGCAATGTGACCATGTATTCTGTCAGAAATGTCTGAACACTGCTATCACCACCTTTGCCACCGGTCGAGACGAATTCAAATGCCCTACCTGTCGAGCGCCAGCAAAGGGGGTTTACCTTAACGTCCCTCGGTTCTTGGTCAATATGTGCGACGATATACGGGTAAAGTGCCCTTTTGAGGTTGAAGGTTGCAAGGAGATCGTTCCAAGAGGCCATATTCAGTCCCATGTCGACAAATATTGCGGCTACAGACTTCTGGATTGTCCCAATGTCTTCTGTACGAAGAAAACTCGAAAGAAGGACCTGAGCGCAGAAAACAAATGCATGCATGAGCTTCATAAATGCTCACGCTGTGATGAGGAGATCATGGAACAAGATTATCAGGTGCGTCTGATATACCGTTGGCAACCAGGCCATGACTAACGAAGGCTTTCAACTGCAGGAGCATGTTCAGGAACTATGCCCGAGCTTGAAAACTACATGTCCTGACTGCGAGGCTACGGTATTCCGCAAGGCTTTGAGAGAACACATAGATGCATGTCCTGAGGCGATCCATAGCTGCGCAGCATCTAAGTACGGGTGTCCCGTCAAAGTTAAACGAGCGGAGTTAGTAGTGCATGAGCAGAATTGCCCATTGATAACAATGGGTCCTTACTTTGAAGCTCAGAATGCTCGACTTGATTCCATGGAGTTGACTATCCGTCATCTCCAACAGCGCAATGAGATCTTCGAGGATGGACTTGCGAGCATTCGGTCTACTCTTGTCGAATCGTCTCGTGTTATGTCTGCACGGAACCTGGACATGCCGGCTGAGTCTAATAGTCAGACAAGACCGTCGAACTCATCTGACCCGGCAAATGAACAATATGACAATTCCAACGCCTCGTCTAATGCGACTACCTATCTTCTTGCTCTCCATGAGTCTCTTCGCGAAGAAGTTGGGCAGTTATCACATGCAATCACGGATCTAGATGCTCGCGCTAGCATGGCGATCATGAACGAATGCCTTCGATTAAAAGAGGATATGGCCCATACGAATGCTGCTGTGAGTAGCATTCGAATGCAGGTGCAATGGCTCATGAACCCTCGCATCCACCAGGGCCAAGGCCAAAGGACAGGGGTTCGTACCAGCAGCAATAACGGCAATGAAACACGAACCGGGAAGCTAAGCTCCTCGGCGTCAGGACCAAGCAATGCTGCTGCGCCATCTCCGGGATTTCTTCGGCCCCGAAGACTCAGCGACGGCGGACGCGAAGGGACCAAACTTTGATAGAGTGCATGTGCGCACTATACTTCGACTCAACGAATAATGATATCTGCTTTCCTCCTTTCCAGAATAGGTCTGAAGGGATGGCGCTGTATGTTTTTCTCGACTGACTTTCTGATACCCAGCGTCCACATTCGAGTGTACTGTAGCCTATAGATAGCCTATAGATGGCCTTGTGATATTTCGGTGATAATTGTTGGTACTGGTCTGTACTAACCCTACTGTGCCACCAGGTCTACTTTTTCATCTTTTTAATGATATAGAAAACTTTGTTAACAGACTTTGTGTTATCTTAGGTATTTCTAATGCCTTTGTGCAACCATCGTTTAAAAAAGATTAACTTCTTAGTTCAACTGATGACAAAGGCAAACAGTGTATATAAAGTCTATACTGTAATAAAGAGGGTATATACTCAAGATTCGTACAAGGGCATATCAACGTAGGACAGCGGCTCACCCGTCCACGGGCAACGCCGCGCTTTATCTTTCTTTTTTTTCTTTCCGTCTTCACACTCCTTCCAACTCCTCTTCAGCTTTCCAAATGGAATGCACGAGACTCGATCATCGTTGTTTCACCGTCCCCGAAACACGTATCAAGTCTCCCCCTGCATAGTTTCCCCACGCATGAAACAAAACACCAGAGAAACCCAACCCAAACACACAAAAACATCAGAGATCAAAACAACGGCATATTAACCGAATTCACATAATCAATATTGTCCTTCGTCCCCTCGACCCGGTCATGACAGGTCCCGAAAATCCGGTCCCAGAGTCTCGTCTGCTTCCCGTAGTTATGGCTCTTGCGCCAGCCCTTCCGATGATGGAGATCATGGTCCTCGATGACGATCTCGGCACCGAAGAGCTCAAGTAGCCAGGTCAGGGTGGACGCGCCGGTTGAATGCAAGCGCAGGCCGCTGTGGCCCAGCACCTCGGTGAAGGCGATATACTGGTGGCAGAGCCACCAGTCGTAAAAGCCGAGGGGGAGGCCCATGAGCCTGAGACTGAAGTAGGTGGCCATAGGGACGCCGACCATGTCAAAGAACTCCTGTTCGTGGTCTGCGTAGGCGGCCAGGAGGGGGTTGGGGTGCTTGGTGAGGTGGTGCGTGCGGTGGAATTTCCAGAGGAAGCCGACATCGTGCATAAGCCGGTGGTACCAGTAGAACCAGAAGTCGAGGACGATGCCGTAGAGCCCGATTTGCAGCGGCAGCATGGCCCAGTTCAGCTGCGAGGGCAGCTGGTTGACGTTGTAGGTGAAGTAGGTAGCCAGCGCGATGCGCGAGCCCGTCGTCTTGTACAGCGATGTTACGACTTTGCCGATGCCAACGTCTGGGACGCCGTCGCGTTCGTGCTTGTCGCCGTCGAGGAAGCCGTAGATGTGACCCAGGCGACGGAGGATGTGGACTTCGAAGATCACAACGGCGTTGAAGGCCATGAAGTAGAAGTTGAAGACGGCTATTGGGCCCAGGTTGTGGCCTGTGAAGGTGGCGTAGACTTGGTGCATGAGTAAGGGCAGGGCTCCGTAGAGGAGAACCCAGAGGTTCAAGGACCACTGCGTGAGGTAGGGGACTTTCTCGTCCTTTTGGTGCACTGGGATTTCCTTGTTGAGCTCGGTTGGGTGCACGTTAAGCAGCTCGATGGCCCAGTGGTTAATGTTCCATTCGTCACGGCTGGCGGTGCGCCAGGTGGACTTCATCGAGTCCTTGGGGTTGGGCTGGGTAGCCATTTTCGCTGATATTGACCTTGATCTGGGTCTCTTGGATATGGCCGCCCTCTTCCGGGGAGGGTTGGCGAGGGAGGAGCCATTGTTTATATCGTTGTCGCTAGAGGGGCGGCCGGTAGGTCCGGGGAGTGTGTTTCTACATGTGAAAGTGAAGGAAGAAAAGAGGTTGTTTTGCAGCACTGGAGTGTAGATCATCATCTGTAGATCGCTTTTCCCAACAAAAACGAGATGTAGCCCCTGAATGGGCTACAGCAGTGAGGGTCCATCAAACTAAAGCCCCAGATCGGTAGTCAACTATGGTTCGCATGTGAAGTAACCCCCCGTTGACATGGCTCCCCCGCGCAGGGATGCCTCGGGGTCTCGGGCATTGAGTCAGTCGGATTGTATTTGGCTATTTTTTTCTGGTCAGGCAGAATTGTTTTGGGGGTGTAGCAAGCTGGTTGTTGTTGTTCGGCATTGTGTTCTATGGGGAATGGGGTTGCCGTTGTGCGGGGAGCATCTATTCCAACTTGGGAATGGGTTGCGAGAGCTTGCTGATAGGCGACTCCGGGGTGGGTTCCCAGTCCAAGATCTGAGCTACCCTTCTGTTGTCATTGGGTCGATGCTACTACTACACCGGGGTGGTCGAAACAAGACCAAATAAAATGAAATGGCTCTTCGTAGATGGCTTAAAACTTGGAGGCCTAGGCATTTCGGTCCAATATCATCAGGCAATCAGTCTCCTCCATGGGCTGGAGAAAAAAGTGTCCCATTTCGTAATAGAAAAGTCAGGCGGTAGCCCTGAGTAAGCCAATCTCAAGGTAATGCCCACCATTTCTTTGAGTTGCTTTGAGTGGTCATTCCTCCTCGTTCTCTGTAAGGAATTGGCTTGATGGCTAGTAAAAGTTATGACCATCTCACTTGTGACGCAAACTGCCAATGTATAAGTACCTACACCATAGACAATGGGAAAAAGAAAGAGGGAAGATGCCTTCCTTATCAAAAGACTCCTACATCTCCCGACAGTTCTTATGGCAAATACTAAGGAGAGGTAGACTGCGGTGGCCCCTGGGATCACTCTACGGTTGCAAGAACAAACACAATTATCTAGATACCTTGAACAGCATATGAATGGTGTTTCAAGGACCTTTGTTGAGCAGATCTAAGCGTACCCGTATTCCAAGTCTTGCTAGAGATACTGACCCCAACTAAGGAGACATGCTCCGCCATTAGCAGTGAGTGGCCATACACCTCGTTGGAAGAATGATTGATGCACTACTCCCTGGTCACACTGTACAGTCAGCGAGATGAGTAGACCTGACATACAAAATGCATTCCACCTCAGTAATCCATACGGCTAGTAGCATTACACGTCCACATGTAGTATGCAATCTTGCTTTGACGTGTCATAGCCTGATAGCTTAGTACCAGGAACCAATTTTAGCAACCAAGAGAAGAATACCTATGTGGCAAAGACTGGCTAGGCCTGCGCATCGGGTGAAAAGGACAAGGACTCACAGGCCATTCTCATTCTACTAACTTTCATCTCCAAGATGTACCCCTCATCATGAGCTGTTCAGAGGCTGAGGTCATAAACCAAAGTCTATCTTTTTTGCGCATGAGTCTTCGGAATCGTACAAATACTTTCCTATATTGAAGGTACTAAGATTGATAGAGCAGAACATAATGTATCAGTCAGAGCATACTTAAGTGGTCTCCAAATTGTAGACGACTCTGTAAATGCTGACCTCAATCATCTGACGTGTACTTCGCTACTCCAGTCACATTCCACATAGGAATGAATCGGCTGGACATACGTCAGAAGGAAAATCCTCGGCATATGACGCAGAATGCGAGCAAATTCTTATTGATCATGGTGCATATCCTGCAGCTTGCGACCGCCCTAACAAGGAAATACGGTGCCTAGTGGCAGTGATCTAGTCAATCGAAATCTGTTGGGACGAAAATCATCCGTTTCATCCTCTTGATCCACAGTAGACGATATTCCAGTGTTCACTCGCGCGAATGCCTTTGCTTTAGGGAGAGGCAGTACTGAACCCCGCGGTTCGTGTCATCCGAGGTGATGCAGGCATTCCATATGAATAATACTCTGCTTAGGGGAGCCTGGGGCCCTCTTTGAGTAACATGGAAGATGCAATACTTCTGGCACTCATTAATAGTATTGAACGGGTGCAAATAGTTGAACAGGTTTTTACAGACCTATGTAAGGAACCATGAAGTAATTGTGCTCATTAATTACCATGTCTTAGACAAGTTCAACAGCATCCATGAAAAGCTTTGATCGGTAGATTGCGGTTCATACGAGAACATACTTATAGAAGTACTAGACACATAAGCCTGGTATAGTTATAAGGCGATGTTTATCGAACCCTTCCTCGAAAACGACATTAAGGGAGTTGTGCCAGTGGAGATTAGTTCTGCATACTGAATAGGGCTGCATAAGTTTGTGATGGGGTTCTTGCCGTTTGCAGCATCTGCCCCACACAAGCCGGCCAATCAGAGTCCGAACCGAACCCTTGCTGTTTCAACACCTTCAGATCAGAATTTGATCCCAGAAAAACAAAGCCACGACAACATGTGCTGGAGCAAAAACGAAAGCCGAACGCGGGGGTCGAACCCGCAACCTTGAGATACCGTGACGACTAAGAGTCTCACGCTCTACCGATTGAGCTAGCCCGGCTGCTGTTGAAGGCAGGTATTCCTAGATTGGTATATGAGTGGTGGCCTACAATAAAAATCCTGAGCCCTATTTCACGCACATGGTACCGGAGGATATGAAGGGCCCGGATTTGGGGTTGAAGAAGATATTTCTTTCATTGTGCAATATTTCGGTTTCATTCTAAATGTCTACTAAAGTCTGGAGTTTGGAGTCAGACATATCATCCCCTATGTGCGTTGTATAATGTACCGGATATATAAATTCACGCAAGTCATAGTTAAATTAACAGGCTAGTGTCTACCACGCTACAAAAGGCGTATATCATCGTACTAGACCAAGCTAGTCACAGTGAATTGGATCTTTAGAACCTATGACACACAATATTGAGAAGCTGTGAAGCCCTGGTGAGATTCTTACTGGATCACTTCCAGGAATTGTGGTTCACAGGGTGTAGGCCATCTCGCTGTAAAATCTGACAAGGCAGTGAAAGTCCTTGTGAGAAATGGGTTGAAGGGAGTTGGAGAAGACGCTGTAGAGTGAGGTGGAAACTGCGTCCTGAAATCCAACATAGACAGTAGTGGTGCTATCCAATGATATGACTTGCTATACCAAACAGTGATTTGCGCGTGCAACCGCGGACCTTATAAATCGAGAATATTTCAACTGGCCTGCCATCTAAATTTCGGATCCGTCCCAAGAATGTCCAGGGTGTTAAATATCCCTTGGAAGGAATATAAAGCCAACCCTGGGATCTCCAGATTGTTGGCTAATCAGTAGTACAATTATTCGGATAGGCAACACCCATTTACTAGAACTTCTAGGCCTCGGATCATACTATTGAAGTAAATTGAGAGTAATTGACACCCTCTAAATAGTTATACGTGATACGTTAAATAAGATGAATCTCATAGTCCAAAGTCCTCTGTTGTCCCCGCTGCCCGCCATAATTTAGCCTATTTAATCACCCACTAAGTATGCTTGATTAAATTCCCCACACCAAGTTGGAGATACGATACATCCCCTCACCACCAAATCACCAAGACCCCCCCCAAACACCATAGATAAACCTCAGCCAACAAGAAGAAACAATGATAAACCCCAAAGCAAACATCCTCCTAATCGGCAGCGGCGGCGTGGGCACCATCGCAGCCCTAAACCTAGAAGCGGGAAACCTCGCCCAGGTAACGGCCGTCCTACGCTCAAACTACCAAGCCGTAACATCGAACGGCTTCAACATCACATCCTGTGATCACGGAGCCCTAAAAGGATGGAAGCCCACCACCAGTACGCCTTACCCTCCAACCCAGCCCAATAACCCACACAATTCCATATATCCCTGTTGACCATATCATTTAAACCCAGTAACAAACCGCATCCCGGAGACAACACCAGAATCCCCAAGATATGATTACATAGTCTGCACCACGAAAGTAATCACCGATTGTCCCCCGCTCACAGCCGATCTGATTAAGCCGGCCGTAACGCCGGCACACACTGTGATCGTGCTGATCCAAAATGGATTGAATATCGAAAAGCCCTATTTCGCCGCCTTCCCGGAGAACATCGTCCTCTCGGGAATAAGCATGATTGACTCGCATGAGGTTGCGCCGGGGGTGATTGAGCATGGCTCTGCAGATGATCTGGTCATTAGTGCGTTTCGGAATCCTAATTTGGATTGTACTGTTGAAGTCGCGGCCGCAGAGCGCTTCGTGAGGCTGTATTCTGCGGCTGGGAAGACGAAGTGTATTCTGGGACTCGATGTAGCGTACAGTCGCTGGAGGAAGTTGATTTTTAATGCGTGTTTGAATTCGATTTGTGCGCTTACGGGTCTGGATACGGGGCGTATTCGCCTTGCGGGGGATGCGGTGGAGATGCTTGTTAGGCCTGCGATGGAGGAGATTCGGGCGGCGGCGGGGTCTGTTGGGGTGGATTTGCCGGAGGAGGTTTGTGAGGAGGTTATTGGGGCTTACCCTGTGACTATGTATTTGCCTCCGAGTATGTTGGAGGATGTTTGGAAGGTTTGTTGGTTCTACTTTTTACTGTTGGGGAGTTGGATCTTGATATGGGTTTGTTTTGCTGACGGTTGTGGTAGGGGAATCTTATTGAGGTCGAGAGTATCGTTGGAGAACCCCTTCGGGTTGGTCGTGCTAATGGGGTGTCTATGCCTACTCTGTCTGTTTTGTATTATTTGTTGAAGGGCGTTCAGTGGAGGACGAAGGAGAAGAGAGGGCTGATTGAGATACCAGCTCGGGGTGGTTCTGTCGCAGGTTCGTAAAACTAGCAAAGATAGGTAGGATCTATATTGCTTCAAGTACAGTCACCAACCAAACTTAGCATTGACACC